GGGGGAGGGGGACAGTGAGGTGCCGGGGGGCGTGAGGGGCTTCCAATGGAATATGGCACACTGGACATAAGTGTATCCCTGCTATAATGCTTGAATAATAACAAGCCTCCAGTCACTAGGTGGCAGCAACTTATACGTGGTTTGTACAGACAAAAATATATACATGTTATCAGGTTCTCTAGTATTTCAATTATATCAGAAAATAATTGAGAACCACTACATTATACATACATTATATACATTATAGTGTCTGTTTGGGATTACATGTTCGAAACCACTTCATTTTGGCTATTCATAAGAAAAAAGTAATGAACAAGCCATTTTATAGTTTTACATAATGGATGAACATGTATAATATTCACACATATGCCAACATACATGTATAATGTAATAATAATTTGAACTCTAATGATCCCACACTTTCCCCACAAATTCTTGTATGAACAGCAGATCTTCTGCAACAGGCTGCCCCTTTGGATGCGCCAAGTATGTGCTTCCTCTGGGAATCAAACCCAGGATTTCTGCTTTCTACTTGTGAGGCAGGCATGTTAACGGCAATGTAACACACAGTGTTATGTTATGTTGACAAATATTTGTCTTTCTGCTCAAGCAATAGATTTTTTGTTGTTCCATTTATGAATGGTGTGATTAAGCCGATGCTGCCCCGTCATTAATTTTAATAATTTGACACCGCAATACAGAGACACACATATACATACATATATATATACACATATATATATAAATATATGTGTGCGTATACAAACATACATACAGTAAATATACGCATATACAAACATACATACAGTAAATATACAGTGATCCCTCTCCTATCGTGGTAGTTGCATTCCAAGACCCACCGAAGGTTTTTTATATTTTTACGTATATATTTGCCCTTTACAAACCTCACCCACACTGTTATCAACCCTCCCTAGACTGGCAGTAAAGGCTGTTAACTGTCATCTGTGTCAGCGTCTTCGTTTGGGCTTAGTAACAGAAGCCTGAGAAGATGCAGAACATTTAGGAGGCATCGTAGGGCGTTAAATTAGGGTCAACTTTCACAAAACACAAGAGCACAAACTTTACAGCAAGGTACGATTTAACGGCAAAGAGCAAAGTGAACTAGTGGCAGACAGACAAGGGGAGATGCTAATTTTTTTCCCACATTTTGCCTGACTTTAACATGTCATTTGTTTTAGTTCGTACAAACGGCCCATTTATCTGCTCCTGACCTGGCCCCCCGTCAAATTTTAGGACGCATTGTGGCCCACGAGTCAAAAAGTTAGCCCATGCCTGATATAGCCTGTCATAAGTAGGACTAATTTCTTGACTTAGTTGACTTAGACTTAGTTACTTCACGTTATATCGTTTTTATAAAATATTAAACGACTAAATAGCTCAGGACTGAATGTATTTTCTTTTTTCATGGGGTATATATATACGATATTACCCGTCATTTCCTAAAGCTAGAGAGGCACTGTTAGATTTCAGTGGTTTTCACATTTGGTTGAAAGCAGGAAGCTTCTAAGACACCAAAGGCCTTCCCAAGCAGACACAATTACATATCTCCAAACATTCAAAGAGAATTTCTCCTAACTTCTCTTTACACCAACTCCCAAGATTACTCCAAAACACCTCTACCCCCTAGGGACAATGGGAAGACTTCCGTCCACTCCTTTTGATCCACATAACCCCCTGTTCTTGGCCGGACCTCAAGGCTCAGTCCACTTCCTTTGTAATAACACCTTGCTCAGTGACAAAAGGTGTCCTCCAACACTGCTGAATCATAGATCAGCAGTGCCACATAGTGGTAGACTGCAGGCACAACCACGGTTATACGATTGGCCACAAGAGGCACCACCTCTTTCCTCCATTGGTCGACCACATTTAAACACAGACGCGGGAAGTCGAAAACCACTCACCGGAAACAGGTATAAAAGTGCACATCATTGATGATGCATTGGAAGCTATTCTTGGAAGTTATTCTTAGAAGTTTAGTTCTTGAATTTGCGTACTTGCAACTGTTGTACGAGATTTTCTTGAATACCTCTCCAGTCGTTTTATTTTGCTCGTTCGACCTGTTTGTTTTGGCGTTTTGTTATTAATCGACCATCTACCGGCTGTTTCATTACTTGCCTGAGACTACCAATTTTGGTGCTGTGACTATGGGGAGAAGAAAGCCTTTCACACCTACACATGCAAAAAAAAAAAATTGTTTCTCTCTCACCTCTTTAAAGTCCTTCACAGTTTTAAAGTAGATCCTTTGTCTATCCAGCACCTCCAGGTATTCATCATTTAGTTGATCTCTTCTCATTTTGTTATCTTGTTTCTTTTTTTCCATCTGGCAACATGAATGACATAAAAGTTTGTAGATTGTAGTTAAAGAAATGTTGAAAGCACCTTTTGTGGCAGATGGTGCATGCTCTACTTTTGCTACATGCACTTTACAACTATCGCCTTTTATCACAAACCAACATTTTTAATAGAAAAAATAAAAAGTTCAGATAAAGGCCAAGACTGACCTTGACTCGGCTTTGTTTGATTCCCTCCACTATTTGCTCCATTTGTCTGAGAAACTGTTCTTTACGTGCCGAAGACGACATGGCCCTGGAAAACAGAGATAGCAGGTGAAAGCCCTGGCCACAACAAATGTTTGACATTTGGCATTTGATATGCTCTGCAATTGATATGCTGTACTTAAGTACTTGAGTCCTTAAGTTACCTTAAAGTGTCCTTGAAATTCAAATAAAGGGTTTTATTTGAATAAAACCCATTTTATTTTATCATTTTAAATCATCATTTTATTTAGAAATGTTCGGAAGGCTTCAGGCTGGGATTTACCATCTGCCAAGTTACCAAGTTACCACTAGGCACCGTCCTCACACACTATATATATATAATATATATATATATTATATAATAATATATAAAAAATATATATGTATATATATATATATATATATATATATATATATATATAGTGTTCCAGTATATTTAATGTAATATATTTAATGTATGTAATATATTTAATATGTATATTGTATGTATTGTATGTATGTAATATTGTATGTATTGTATGGTATTGTATTGTATTGTATGTATATTGTATGTATGTAATATTGTATGTCTGTGATATATTTAATGTAATATATTTAAAGTTCCAGTTAATAACACAATCCAAAACCACAAACTGGTTTCCTTTATATCCCAGAACTACTTCCCTCACAAGACACTCCCTCTTTCTCACTTACTCACTCACTGAACAAAGAGGCACACAACAACAAAAAAACAGGCAGTTATCCAACCACTAACCTAACAGAGTTGTGTAGAAAATGTCTGCAGAAGAACTGCCATGTGTTTATGTTAATTTTGTCTAAATAAAATGTCAAGTTCATGCATACTTTACATTAGAAGAATTCAGAAAGGAACGGAAACAACCATTTTTTCTACATTTTATTTTCTCACCCAATGATATTCTCTTCCCTATATCGGTAACATCATTGATTTAATGTACCTTTAATGAAAACCCGATTCTGTTCCATATACTGACAAACAGGATTAATGACTATATCAGAAAAACTACGTATCCTGTCAGGTCCTATTGCTTTAGTGCCATTTAATAACGTCCAGTGTTTGAGATTTTCAACATGCAATACAAAATATAAGATTGCTCATACTCACTGTTGAAAGTTGTCATGGATTGAATTAAGCAAGTTCACCTGAGGACAATATAAACAGAATTTTGGTGTTAAAGAGAGTGCTCAAATTTTAACATTTCAAGTCATATCACACACACCAAAAGACAATTCAAGTCACATTTTTCCACTTTTTAATCGGTAGCATTGCTATAGCCTTCAGTGTAATAAGCATGCCCTGAAGTAGCACTTTTGCCTTCAAGTGGTTGCTATGCTGTCTTTTAAGTAAAGGAATATAAATACATGGCGGTTCTCACATTTACGGCGTCCTCAACCTACAGTGCTTCCATCATTCCTACATACGACATTAAAACAAATTTCGCACAGAAGAAGGTAGTTGGGGAGCAGAGGAATACTTTGACATGATGGACATCTCGTGGAAGACGGGTTTGTTTACATTTGCTGGTTGTACGCCATACTTTAGATTGTGTTTTTTGGGAACCCAAACGTAAGTCCGACTCTTCTGATGGTTTTATGCCCTAAATTATGATGTCATCACTGTGTTAGTATAGTTGAGTGACAGAGGTACTTATGTACAGTATGTGGGTTCCAACTTCAAGTCGCATCGTAAAAACTCCGAGTGACAAAAACTGCAAAAATGCATGAAATGTCATACAATGTTTTGCATTGTATAGAGTTTATACAGTATACAGTAATACCTTGAGATACGAGCGTCTCGACATACGAGTATTCCGAGATATGAGCAAGCCTTCAAGCCTTCAGCAAGCCTGAAATACGAGTAAAGATTTGAGATATGAGCACGCTTACAGATGTGTTTGTCAACTTCCAAACGAGTCTCCCGCGAGTCTTCCGTATTGTGTTTGCATTATCTATGTGATTGTCTCTATATTTTGTGCATTATTCTTCATAATACTGACGAGTCCTTGGAAAGTGAGTGGTAAGGATGGTAGGGAGAAGAAAAACAACGCATGATGACCATGGAAATAAGCATGAAATTGTAGATAGATCTTAGTGTGGTGCTCGCGTGAGTGATCTAGCACACATGTATGATCGCAGTACATCCACGATATGTACCATCCTAAAGCTGAAGCATGCTATCAAGAATGCAAATCCTTCCAAGGGCGTGACGATCATATCAAAGTTACATTCGAATATAAACGATAAGATGGAGAGGCTACGTACGGGTCAACTCCCTTCCCTTCCTCCCTGCTCCTCCTGCGCACATACGCCATTAGCCGCTACTGTATCGTCTGTGTTTATGATAAGAACTCATAATTAAAACCACATTTTATTTTATATTATATTATATGTCTTTATAGCAATTAAAAACATATTGTTTTCCATTGTTATTAGCAGATTTTTTTTAGAGGGCTGGAGGAGATTTTTTTTTTTTTTCTGTTATTTCTTATGGGAAATGATTTGCGATACAAGCACCTCGAGTTACGAGCTCGGTCCTGGAACGAATTATGCTCGTATCTCAAGGTATTACTGTATTTGATTTCCAGGCAAAATAGGTTAGTACTTTGTAGAGAAACAAGCACAGTGATGGGACATTTCCCCAGTGTGTTGAAGTCGCCCTATACCTATTGCAGAAAAACAGCCCTTAAACAAGTTACCACTCTTGCTTGTTTGTGAGGATGGTGTTCTTTGGGTCAAACTCGCATTTCTTCATCTTCTATACAGTGCAGATCAAGGTGATGCCAAATAGCTCAACCTTGGTTTCATCTGACCTCAGCATTTTCTCCCGAGCATAGTCATTTAGATCTTCACTGGCAAATTTAAAATGGGCCTGTACATGTTTCATCTTAAGAATGTTATAGTCGGTACTGCAAGATTTCAGTCCATTATTCAGTCTGTTGCCAACTGTTTTCTTGGTAACTGAGGTTCCAATTGCTTTCAGATTATTAAAAAAAAAAAAAAAAAAACTGCTGACATGCAGTTTTATGTTGATCCCTAACCTTTCTCATCCTCATTCCCTCTCCACTAGGCCAGATCTTGTAAGTATGATGCTCCAGGCTGTTGATGGTGATTTTGTGAGACTTATACTTTCAAATAATGGCACCAATAGTTCTGACCTTCTCATCAAGTCTTTTGGTGATGGTTTGTAACCCATACCAGCCCTGGGCAGGTCTATTATCCTGGCAATGACATCTTTGACAGCTCTTTGTTTCTGCCTAGGTGCTATAGTGATTGGAATTTAAAAAAACTGATTAACTGAGCAAGCACATTATACACTTGGCAAGTTAATATCGAGAGTATTGGCAATTGGTTGGTTGTACGCATTGTTTCCCACATGGGCAATAGCCAATTTGGGAGGCAGAATCCTGGGTGAGTGTATCGGAATCAAATATTTATTTCACTCTATAAAATAAAAACATTTTAGAAATGTGTATATCCCTTTGATGCATGACCCATGATATACTGAGTTAAAAAAATGTTACTAAGTGTTTTTAGACATAAAAATAAGAACTGATTTGGTTCCGTTTTTATACACCAAATTTTCTTTTTGAATGTTGACACAATTATTCTGCAGTTGCAAAGGCTGACCACTGTATGGCAGTGTTGGGTGATTCTCAGGCGTCCACTGTAGAGGCTTATATGCAACACTGCCATCAAAACCTATTCTTATCATAGAAAATGACATTTTAATAGCTGTCCACTGTAGTGACCGTCATGTATGAAAGGGATATTGTTATTATGCATTTTCAGCTGAGATTCTAACTATTGCTATAATCAATAAATAACCATAACAATTTGAGTCTCTCCTTCTCTTAATTTTTTTTCTGTGGTCTCTGATTTCACCAGTAGTTGCTTTTGATTAAAGTGTTTCCTAACCTCCTTTTCCAGATATATTTTCTTGTCATCTAATGTGTTATACAGGGTGAAGAACTGCTTGGTTTCCTTGTGTGTCACAGAAACTAAAAGGGAAGAAGAAATATATATTTTTATTTTTTTTAATGAACGTCAATGTAGAACATTTGTTGAAACCAGCTACAAAAAACATACCTTGGCAGTAGAGTTCAATAAATCTTTTTTGGTACTGTGTCAACTCGTCTCGGGTTGGCACCTCATCAATCTTGCGCTGCAAGACAGCAATCTCCCGGTTTTTCCGGGCCTGAGCAGAGAAAGGAAAATTACTTATTTATTATTAACACTTGAAATGTTTTAATTGTAATTAATTTATGGATGGTCAATAACACCTTTCTTTTAAAATAAAAGTTTCCAACAAACACCTTAAATATAGCAGGCCTGGGATGACAACAAATTTCGCTGGACGACATACTAGCCAACAAATTATTGCCAAGAGAAATAAAGCAACTGGTAAAATGACCAAGCTAAGGAGAGTGAGGGAGAAATGGAGCTCGGTTGAGCACTCATAGATGTTTCCTCATATCATGAGGAAAATCTTGCAAAAGTTGCTTACTCGTAACTTGGGGAGCTCGTATCTCGGTGCCCCACTATGTATGTATGTATGTATATATATATATATATATATATCCCTTTGATATATATATATATATATATATATATATATATATATCCCTTTGATATATATATATATATATATATATATATATACTGTATATGGACCATACTTGGGTCAAAATTAAGGTCCAGGATATCAACACCTTCACAGATCACATCAAAGCAGTAGACAGGAACATCAAGTTCACCAGAGAAGATGTGAAAGATTGCATTTCCGGACTGGATAGACAACGCAACATTTTCCATGGGTGTACAGGAAACCCACTTACACCAACTACTAACTCCATTTTTACTGACAGCATCAACTAGAGCACAAATGAGGAGTCATCAGAACCCTATAGTCATGGGCAGACACGATTAGGTCAGCTATCAAGACCTCTGGTTATCCCAGATGGGCCTTTTTTTTAAACCAACAAGCAGAGGTCTGCAGAAGGGGAGGAGAACAGGAGGGGGAATGTCGCCATTCCATACATAGCAAGTGGTTCAGAAAAAAATCAGAAGGATCTTTAACCAGCACCAGATCCCCGTACACTTCAGATCCGGTAATACCCCGAGACAAAACTGGTTCATCCCAGACAGACAGAGAGAAACAAGCTGGACAATGTGGTATATGCCATTCAGTGCAGTGAAGAGCATACAGACCTGTACATTGGGAAGACCAAACAACTGCTACACAGGACTCAGCTGTTGACCTACACCTCAAGGCCAAAAGACAGTCCTTTGAGATAAAAAATTTCACATTTTCATGACTGCTGATTATCACCGAAACCTGGCTTCACTCGAACATACCTGATGCCAGCATGCAGCTAGCAGGCCGCACTCTGCTCTGCCAGGACAGGACTGAGAACTCCAGTAAGAGAAGAGGAGGGGGGCTCTGTATCTATGTACATAACAACTGGTGCAACAACGGGACAATTGTAGACCAACACTGTTCCCCAGACGTCGAGTACATGTCTGTTAGAAGTCGGCCTTGTTTTCTGCAGAGAGAGCTGACTGTTGTGATCATCACGGCTGTGTATATTCCACCCGACGCCAAAGTAAACATAGCACTCTCTCTCCTACTGGACACCATAGATGAACAGCAGCAGGCCCACCGCAACGGTGTTATGCATATTATCGCAGGGGACTTTAACACGGCTAATCTGAAGACTGTACTCCCTAAGTTCTACCAGCATGTCAAGTGTTCTACAAGGGGGGAGAACACCCTGGATCATGTTTACACCAACATCAAGCATGCATACAGAGCCATACCCCTCCCCCACCTTGGCCAGTCAGACCACCTCTCTCTTCTGTTTTCCCCAGCCTACAACCCCTCAGACGCCTGGCAAGGCCCACCACAACAGACAGACGTGGGACGTATTTCAACAGGTGCTGGAGACACTAACAGGAACGGTGCTGGACTATATTCAGTTCTGTATCGGAAATGTGACTGTGGACAAAACCATCTGGGTTTTCCCCTAACCAGAAACCCTGGATGACCAGCCAGGTCCGCACACTCCGCCAAACCTGTAACGCTGCCTTCAGGTTAGGAGACAGAGCACTGTACAAAGCTGCTCGAGCTAATCTGAAGAGAGGTATAAGGAGAGCTAAGGCTGACCACAGGATGTGCATCAAGTCCCACCTATTCAGCAACAACTCACGAGAGATGTGGCGGGGGATACAATACACCACTAACTTCAGAGGCTGCGGCGGGCCAACAGCAAATCCGAGTGCGACACTGGCAGAGGAACTGAACTGCTTCTTTGCCTGCTTTGAAGCTTCCCAGCAGCACTCATTTGCTCCAGCCCTGCCCCCAGCCCCATCTGGTTCCTGCACCACTCCACTCACTTTACAGGGACATGAAGTCAGACGGGTGCTCCTGGCAGTGAACCCCAAGAAGGCTGCTGGCCCAGACGAGCACCTGGAAGGGCATTTACATTGCATGCCCCCCGGACGCCTTCCTCGCGCGGTGCTCGGGTGCCGTCCCTCTGGCAGGAGACCTAGGGGAAGACCTAGGACACGGTGGAGCGACTACATCGCTCGGCTGGCCTGGGAACGCCTTGGGGTCCCCCCAGAGGAGCTGGAGGAAGTGTTGAGGGAGAGGGAAGTCTGGGTGTCCCTGCTCAGACTATTGCCCCCGCGACCCCGGCCCCGGATAAGTGGTTGATGGTTGATGATTGATGGATGGATGGATGAATGGATGGTGCTCAGAGCGTGTGACCACAAGCTCGCACCCACCTTTACCAGGATCTTCAACTTATCCCTGGGCCAGGCAATCATCCCACCCTGCCTAAAATCAAACACAATAATCCTGGTACCAAAGAAGTCTCTCATCACCAGCCGGTATGATTACCGTCCGGTGGCCCTCACTCTGCTTTGAGAGATAAAGGACTTCCTCACTAACCGTCCCCAGACTGTGAGACTTGGCACCCACCTCTCCCCCACCCAGACACTGAGCGTCAGCTCCCCACAGGGCTGTGTGCGCCCCCTCCTGTACTGTTTCTACACCCACGACTGCAGTCTGGCCCACAGTGACAACCTCATCATCAAGTTTGCTGATGATATTACGGTGGTTGGACTCATCTCCAGGGGTGACCAGATGGCCTACAGGGAGGTGATCCTGAAGCTGGCAGCCTGGTCTTCGAACAACCTCTCTCTAAACACCAAGAAGACCAGAGAGATCATAATCGACCTCAGGAAGCACAGCATCGACCGAGCCCCCCCTCTACATCAATGACGAGCATGTGGAGAGGTTCCACACATTCAGGTTTCTCCGCTGGCATCTCCTGGTCAGAAAACATCACATCCATCACTAAGAAGCCTCAGCAGCGCATGCACTTCCTTAGAGTTCTTGGGAAGCACAACTTCAACACCAACCTGCACCGACCTTCTACCGCTCCTCCATTGAGAGCCTGCTGACATACTGCATCACAGTATGGTATGGTATGGTATGATCATTGGCTGTCCTCTAACCTCCCTGATGGATATTTACACCCCCACCCCCACCCCCCCCACCTCAGCAGAGCCAATACTATCATAAAAGACAGTTCATACCCTGGCTATGACCTGTTTGACCTGTTGCCCTCTGGTAGGTGCTACAGGTGCATTAAAACAAGGACAAAAAGATTCAAGAAACGCTTCTTCCCTAAAGCTGTAAACACCCTGAACTCCCACATGCACAGCCCAGACTCTGCAAGTCCATTCCGCTAGACAACATAGATGTGCAATATGTGTCAACACTGCACCTACCTCCATGTATATTTTCACTTATATTCTTAGTCTCGGTATATAATTTGTCTTGCTTTCTTTTTCTTGCACTGATACTACTTCTTGCACTGTATTGAGAACGGCTACAATTTCGTTGTACTGAAAGTATAATGACAATAAAGGCATTCTTTTCTATTCTATTCTATTTTGGCCAGGGAAGACAGATGGTTTAAGAGATGGGTAAAAGAGGCCATTTCATTAACCTGGAAAAACCATCACTCAGCAGAGGAGGTGCCTTAAGACACAACCTATTAGTTAGTTTATATCCCTTCCCCTTGTAAATATCTCCATTATTATATTCTTGCCATTTTGCAATTTCATTGTGTCATATGTCCTGTAGGTATGGCATATTTGACAATAAAGTTGACTTCACCCACATATGAGGCACTCTTAGGAACTACACCCAGATGATTCACTTCCGATCTGCCCGTTTCACACATCAAAGAGGCGTGTGACCGAAACCAAGGACAAGGATTGCAACAACCCATCAGATCTTTCTAACGACGGTTAACACTGTCCCAGATGACCCCAACGGCCCACCCAACAGGAGGGACTTCAAGCACCTACAGTGTATAATTACTTTACTCCCCACCATCCACCGTTAGAACAGAAGAAGCCTCTTGGATGAGAGGTGAAACATCTTGAGAAAATCTCATGTCCAGTTACCCGATGAAACTTTTCAACCTTGACCATGACCTGGATGACTGGGAATCTTCGTAGATACTGACAATGCACTTTTCAACAATCCAGTGAAATAGTCACAGTTTCAGCCTGTGCACACCCAATTACGTACAAAGATGGAAGATGGATAACGCTGCTTCAGTCATTATCTTTTGTAATTGCGAACCAGACAGGAAGCTGCTTAGTGCACTTTAAGGTTTCAAACAAACGCGCTACATGCTTTTTTAAATCTATACAGTACATTTGTTGTGGTTTCACTTCTGTACCATGATTAGACGCGTCTTCTGAAGCCTCTGCCTGTCTGTGTTGTACTGTTTGTCTATCAGTTGGTTACTCTCCTGTTGAGAGAGAGAAAAAGGAAAAAAAACATGACTGGAGAGTACACTTTATTTCATTATTTCATTAGGTAAAAATATTAAAATACAATTTTAGGTAGAAACTAAAAATGTAGACACCTTTGTTTCCTTTGAATCATGCCTGAAAGACATGTTTAACTCCTCAATGTTGGCCTGTATACGGACCATCTCTTCCTGGACATACACAATCAAAACACAATGCACCAATCAGTTTCTGTAGCAATAAATAGTAAATACAGTGAGATCGATGTAATTAAAGTTGTAGATGAGAATGTGGATATTCTTACTCTGCAGTGTGTGCGGAAATCTTGCTCCTGTTGATTTAGATTCCTGTTCATTGTTACCAAAGCCCTAAGCTTCTCATACAAGCTGTTGATCAAAGTAAATCTATATTAGGGCTTTCAAGCATTTGAAAAATGACAACGATCAGATTTTTGTAATCAAGACAATCAAATATATTAATCTAAAAAGCAATATTAAAGCAGGCAACTGGAGTTACCTTAAGTATTATATTAATATGTGTGTATGTAGATATCGAATAATTATCAAATCCCAAAACCTTTTTGATAGAAAAAAAAAGAAAGAAAATCCATGCCCTCTTTTTTACTTACAACCTCTTTACTTTTAATGTAGCAACTCGGTGTCAATGAAGGTGGGAGGCATAGCTTAGTGGATCTGCATTGTACAATGCAGCCTAATGCAGTTGTCTAGCCCAGATCCACTGAAACTTCTACACAGATTGCATAATCATAATTTGATAAAAATAAATAAATATATGAAAAATATGTATGGTTCGATTCATATTGTTCCCAAACTGAGACCACTGTATCGAACAGTTCGATACAGATACATGTCTTGTTGCACTCATATATATATATATATACATATACATATATATATATATATATACATATACATATACATATACATATATATATACATATACATATATATATATATATACATATACATATATATATATACATATACATATACATATATATATAGTTTTTATTTTAATTTCTCCATTACTTACCCACTATCAGTGCTCCCCTCCATTTCTTGTAAAGCTTTAAATTCTTTGTCTAGCTTCTCAGTATGTTCCATTTCCTGAAAGACAGGTCAACGTTTTCAACTACTTCATATTTAACACACACACAGCACTCAGCCTATTAACCCTCGTGTTGTCCTTTGTGATGATAATATGCCTGTGTGTGTGTGTGTGTACTGTACTGCACGGTTATTGACAAATTTGCCTCATACTCTGATTGTGGGACAAGATGCAAACCCATTGCGAGGGTGCTGGGTGTGTACATAATGCGTACAAAGAGATGGTTAAGGTGAGTGATGCCCAACTGAGTGACATCAGCACACAAGAAATGTTTTTGAATAGTGATAAAATATTGACTGCAAGAGTCTATGTGATGGCAGCTTGCTTTGTGAGCTAAGTGTCCGACAAAGGGTATGTCCTTACCTTACATGACAAAATGGCAATATACATATTTGGTACAACGTCCAGGGATTATGTTTGTCTCTTTTTACCTCTACCAAATTTTTCTTTGCCTCCTCACAGTCCATTTTCACTTCCAGATGCCTTGTTTTTAGCTGCAAAACATGAATGTCAAACATGAATCGTATATGGTAACATTGAACATGGGTGAAGTTAAATGCACACTTAGGAAATTAATGTGCCAACCTCTTGCAGTTGTTTACTCTTCTGTTGGATTTGTTTCATGAGCAAGGATACCACCCTGCGATATTGCTGCAGAAAGCCAAAGTCCCCAGTGCTCTTTTCTGATCTCAGCTCTGATTGCTAGAGACAAAAAAATATATAATGCATAAATACAATGGGACACAAAAATACTGAACAGAAGGTAAAACCAAAAAAAGCTGATTGAGTGCGGGCTTATTATTGATGTGTCTAAATGATTGCATGTTCAAAATATACATTATATTGTCACTTTACAACCACACTCGTTTTACAGACAAGACGCTATTGGTCATAACTTGCTTTTATATAATGCATAGACATCAACACTTTCTGTAGCTATTGAAAACACCTAATTATTTTATATTAATTATATTAATTAATTTTATATTAATAATATAGCTTGTCAGAGGAACAACATTTACACATTGTTTAAAAATATAACATTTTCTTTTTGTGACACAGGCACAGTCAGAATTATGTTATTCGTCAACCACCCATGTTTTTTCAAGTATCGTATAAAAACAATTATGAAAGGGTTTGTTTGATTTTGCATTCTTTTTCTGTATGCAATACACTGGAGTCAAGATGGCAGACACTGTGATAAAAAAAAAAAAAAAAATTCTACCAAGTTTGTATTTCGTATGTTGCTGCTCTTGCCTTCTGGATCTGTGCTCCAGTTGATAATATCATAAATAACAACAGATAAGTTACATTAAAAAACATTAAACATTAAAATGTTGCTACTTACCTTTTCAGCATATTCCGAAGCAATAAGTTTGATCTCGTTTGACTGCAGTCCCACTATCTGACCAACTGCACTTGCTGTTAGCTTGCCCTGCACAATTCGAAAGTCTTTCTCAACAAGAACATGTCACACATTGTGTTTTCCATGTACACCAAACAAAGTGGTATTAGAATCTTTATGCACTTCTCCCTGCTCTAAAACAGGAATCTGGTTAGTCACTTTAATTGGTCAGATCACATGATAAAACATCAGTTAAAAAAAGTTCCGTAAAAGTAATTTCTGCTTTTGTTTTTGAAGTTGCAAAAACATGACCTACAGTTAATAACAACGCATTATAGCATTTACCTCCTCGACTGTACACATGTCTTCTTCTTCTAGCATCTGTACCATCCCGGTAGGATCAATTTGAGAGTCACCAGTAGGCAAGGATGTTCCTTCTTCCACCTAGAGGAAGAAGATGAGATGATTTAACACTAGAGCAGCTAAGTCGGTCATTTTAACCGTTGAAAGTCACATAATCAATAACTTTGTGAAATAAAAAAAAATACAAGCGTTTTTTTATGTATTAAACGAAGACAAAGAAGATACAATCACTTCTACCTATTCCAGGTAGAACAAGATTTTGCGCGGCAAATGTTGCAATTTGGTTGCTATAGCAACAACCATCTCCTTCATTTGTCTCTATCGATCTTGAGTGTCAGTAGGCTACTGTTTTTGACCTTTATCCAGGCAGGGAAAGGGCACACCTGCCGGAAATGTAACAAAACGGGTTTGTCCAAAAAGATTTTCAATTATGTTGAGGTCAGGAGATTGTGAAGGCCATGGCAAAACCTTGCATTTACACATTTACACCTCTTGATGTAATCCACCAGGGATGTTGAGGTGTGTTTGGGATCATTATCCATTTGTAGCAGCCATCTTCTCTTTAACTCCTGCTTTTTCACAGATGGCATCAAGTTAGCGTCCAAAATTTGCTGAACTTTTATTGAATCCATTTTCCTTCTCCTTGTGAAATGTTCCCTGTGCCACTGCCTGCAATTACAACCCCAAAGCATGATTGATCCACCCCCATGCTTAACAGTTGGAAAAAGGGTTCTTTTCATTAAATTCCCTTCACACCAACTTTCTACTCCCTGGGAACAATGGGAGATCTCCCTGAAGCCATCCATTCCTTTTGGTCTACATGACCACCTATGGTTGACTGGACTTCATGGCTCGGTCCACTTCCCTTGTGATAACCCCCCCACTCAGCAACAAAAGGTTCTTCCAACACTGCTGAATCATGGAACAAGAGTGCCACATAGTGGCGACTGCAGGCATCACATGATACAAGAACAATAATATGATTGGACACAAGAGGCCTAGCCTCTCTCTTCCATTGGCCTACAAGATTTAAACACACACCCGGGAAGTCGAAAACCCCTCGCCCCACACAGGTATATAAGCATAAACAACTAACGATACTTTAGAAGTTATTCTTGAGAAGTTTTGGATTTGCGTATTAACTATTGTTGTACGAGATTTCCTCGAATACTTCTCCAGTCGTTTATTTTGCTTTATTGTTGGACCTGTTTTGTCTATTAAAACGAATCGACCATCTACCCGCTGCTTCCGCTCCTTGCCTGAAGACACCTCGCACAGCAAGAATATTTTGACTGGTACTGTGATCCAGATCAGAATACAGCAAGAATCTTTCAGCTATGATTGAATCAAATACGATTTCATTGACTTGATTATAATAAACTAAGTTGATAAGAAGAGAACAGGTCATATTACATTTTAACTGTTACGAACCGTGTCTTAAGACATGTGTCGTGTGATTGTGTTTTATTTGGTGCCTGAAATGTTTTCTCCTGTCTCCACTGTTGGTCAAATCAACTTAGTTTGTCTGATATTCTGATACAATATACTTTACTGCCTCAGCAGCCTTAAGTGCCTTAAAAGACACAATGACAGCAAAGAATTACATCCTCAGCCATCCATCCATCCATCCATCCATCATCGTCCGCTTATCCGGGGCCGGGTCACGGGGGCAACAGTCTGAGCAGGGACACCCAGACTTCCCTCTCCCCAGACACTTCCTCCAGCTCTTCTGGGGGAACCCCAAGGTGCTCCCAGGCCAGCCAAGCGACATAGTCGCTTCAGCGTGTCCTGGGTCTTCCCTTAGGTCTCCTGCCAGAGGGACAGTACCCGAGAACCTCCTGAGGGAGGCGTCCGGTGGGCATGCGATGTAAATGCCCAAGCCACCTCAGCTGACTCCTCTCGATGTGGAGGAGCAGTGGCTCTACTTCGAGCTCCTCCCGGGTGACAGAACTCCTCTCTCTAAGTGTATGCCCTGCCACCCTGCGCAGAAAGCTTATAACGGCCGCTTATATCCGGGATCTTGTTTTTTTTCGGTGATGACCCAAAGCTCATTACAGTGGCCGCTGCAACGATCCACCTGACAATCTCACGTTCCATCCTTCCGTCACTTGTGAACAAAACACCAAGATACTCAGCCATACCATCAAAAAAAACACCATAATAAAAGCACCATTAATATTTTGCGAATAAACATCAGCCTCAAGCAGCATTATTACTAAATTTGCAAGCTTTTGCTCCTGATACAAGGAAATATCTAGTTACGAGTGCTCAACCGAGGACTCGCATCCATTCTTTTAGTGTTTATTAAATTATAAAATTTAAAAAAAAATTTAAATATATAATCCTTCTCCTATGCTTAGTGGCACCGACACACTGTCTAGCTTGGTCATTTTACCCGTTGCTTTCTTTATCTCTTTTATCCCAGTCCTTATACGCTTAGTGATATATTTCTGGGAGGCTGGAATGAATTAATTTGTTTTCAGTTATATTGAATGGGGAAAGGTAAATCTAATTACGAGTGGATCGAGACACAAGTGCTGTTGTAGAATGGCTTAAACTTATCTTGGGGATCCACTGTATATGCCGTACATACACTGTATTACTATGATATATTATCACTAGTTGTTAAGTTGGTCTTAAAATAATATTATCACTTATTGGTGATAATGTTTTAGGACAATATATCGTCCAGCATGTTATTGTCTTAGGCCTACTGTCAGCTTCTTTAGCAAGAATAAACAACCTCAAAGACATTAAGATTCTATTATAAAATAGATAAGATGCTAAAAAAGAAAACAATTTGTTACACAAATACACACATACAGTATATACAGTATATACAAACATAAACATATATATACACACATGCACACACATACACATTTACACATATATACACACACATATATATACACACACATATATACACACATATATATACACACACACACACACATATATATATATATACAGGAAATTCATCTTTGAATATATATACAAAACGTCTGAATATATATACAAAAATCCTGAATATATATACAAAAGGTCTGAATATATATACAAAAATATTAAATGTGTTTGACCACACTGTCCGTATCGGTGGGCAGCTACGCCTGCACAACCGGCTAGGCTCCCGTTGTGCCCACGTAGCGGGACGTATAAAGTATGTAAAAAAAATAAATAAAAAAAATAATATCAAAGCGACACAAGCAGCTTCTATATGAACATCTTTCTTTATTCACTCTTCGTTACTTCTTATACGTTTTTTACGGACCACGCTTCACTCGCGGAAGTAAGCATGAACAATCGAATACAAATTAATAGTTTAAAGAGAGCACACTACACTGCGTCATATGACAGCTTTCAAATAAAATATCTTCTAATAAAGTAAACAAATATACCTACATGAAAATCTTTCTATTACATCTTTTTTTTTCTTTTTTTTTTTACATACTTTATACGTCTTGTATGTATATTCAGGATTTTTGTATATATATTCAGACTTTCTGTATATATATATATTTAGACTTTCTGTATATATATTCAGGATTTTTGTATATATATTCAGGATTTTTGTATATATATTCAGCTCTCTGATGTTCCATATTCATTTCACCAATCCCATGAAGTTTCCGTATGCTCAAATTCCACTTCCTGGAATTGTTTCCCTTGCTTCCACACCTGTGTTCTTACCTGTTATCAAACCTGTTATCCAGCCTTGGTCTCACATTTTGCTGTATTCCTTCTGTCAGTCTGAAGAATACAAAGAAAGTGTGAAGAGTGTCTGAGGTCACGCCGTCTTTAAATTCTATTTTTACACCCAGTGCGAAGCTCCGTTGTACTTAACCTTGCGACTGTTCTCTGTTTACCCTCGACTTGTTTAGATTGAGCTCGACTTCTCTCCCCCTGAGTCTCACTTTAACAGCCATGTTGTTGTAAAGAGCCACTTTCTCCTTCTGAATTCGTCCCCGGAGAGGGCTTGTCAGTTGGCGCATGTTCGCACATCAATCTGTCTCCCTGTAGTTATAAATCAGTCACAAATTTGCCACGTACGACATAGCCCTCCCAGAACCTACCTGAGGTAGAACTGAAATTTGAAACAGTCACTCAAGAAGCTGTGTTTGACTTGATGACCTTGGTCTGGAGACACGTTTTTTCCTTCACATAAAAAGCTTTGTGTTTTACATTTGAATATTAAATGTGTCTCTAACATTCAAAACTAACATCGTGGTGTATCAAGGGGTGGAGCGGGGGTGCCGGAGTAAACCCGGGACGGTCCAGTCCATGACAGGGACAACCATCCACATTAACACTCATAATCATGATCAATCCAGGATAAAACAATCAATCAAATATTTGTTTTGAAATGTTTATCATTAGGTTACTAAAAGCAAAGCAGATTAGCAGAGTTTAATAAAAAGGTTTAGGATTAGGCATACATTTGAATTGTCATTGTAAGGCATCGGAAATACACAAGTAGTTCACTTTCACTTTCACTTTCATACATATATATATATATATCATAATGTATATAGCAAAATTTAAATTCTTAATAAATGTGATCACTTACTTGCCATATTCCAGAAGGGTAGAGTAAACCAATGACTCTTCTTCTAGCAATTGTTTTGCATCTTTCTGTCTCCTGTATTTTCTTTCTGGTTTGTAGACCCCCTAAAAAACCACATAAATTATGTTTTTAACTTTGTAATAGTGAAATAACTCATTCTATTACTCTCTACATTTATATTTTAGTCAAATCTTTTGGGGAAAAGAAATACTATTTTCTGAATTCAATTCTATAGAATGGAGGGTTTCCAACAATAGAAGTAGTTGTTTTTTTTGTAATCCTAAATAAGGAGATAAATGCGTCTGTTATGATAACAGCCATCTGACAGAACATCTGAAGTGCCATAGTGCTAAAAAATGCTAATTTCATCTACGTTTAACAGCAGGGGTGATAGATAAGGTGTTAACATCTAACCATTTCAGTCAGATGTTATTTTAACCAACATTCTGTGTTAATCAAATCATGGAAATAATGAGAGGTAAAAGCTTTGCTCAATTTCTGTTCAGATGATTTTATTCATGTTTTTCTTCTATTTTTTTTTTTATTTATTTCATCCTAGTTTTTATATTTATATTGTCCAATGTGATTAAAAGACACTCACAGCAAAGGTTCAAAATCCGGTTTTTAATGTCAGATATATTACATAATTATTCTTTTATTGGGCCGATATTGGATCAATTAGACCAGTCGGTCGGTCGGCCGTATTATCGGACATCCCTAGATAAAACTTTTGTGTGCAATGTAAATAAGTCTATGTTTCATTAAAGCCAATCAAACAGTATACCATAAGAACTTACCAACACATCCAGTACAGCTTTGTCCTTCTTCTGGAGGAAGTCTTCATCCTATGGTATGGGTTTTATAAGAATCGTGTAGTTATTTTACAGTACACTTGAGGGCAAAAGCTATTTAAGGCTTTAGACAAATTGTGAAGACATTTTTAACTGTTTCTCAGAAGAAAACTGTTAAATTGACAATTATGTGAAATGCAATAAGACAATTATTATTCAAAGTATTCAAAAAAAAAAAAAAAACACACAGCATGTAATGATAGATGGATTCAATTTTTGTTTGGTCAACTGCAGAATATCAATTTAGACTCCTCAATCCTGATCACACAGGAGTATTTTCTCTGGATCCCAGTTCCTATGTTTTTGTACATAAATGAGTAACTTGTTCTCGTCTAATAATGGCAGTATGACCTTATGGCAGCAACATTTCTGGACAGTAGATTATAGTGTTCCTGGGTCCTATAAAATTTCAATGAAAAAAAAAATAAAATGCATTTTTTAAATACCATACCTCCTTTGCTGACCACTGCAAGTGCAACCCTAAACCTTGCCTACTACTTTTGGCTACTTTAAAAGAGCTGGAATGGAAGGGAACTGAAAGCAAACTAGCCAGCAGCATAAGGGTTTCAAACAAATTTAAAACATGCCATTAATTGACATATGCTTCACATACAAATGTACTTAAAACTACTTAAACGTTAGAGCTTTTCGTTTAAATTGAATATAATGGACTAATGTGTTGGCTTTGAGTCCTATTGATCGATTGGTCTTACCTCTGGAAGCCAGTGAGTCTTTTGGAATTGAGATATGGAGTATGCTCTCACATAGTCTCCCATCTCTTTTCTTGTTTCTATAGCCCGCTTCACTAGCCACTTGGAGGAGAAAAAAAAAAAAAAATACACAGCTGACCAAACCCAACCACATATGCATATGAATACTATTGATACACATTCATCTTATGCAGTGGTGTTACGAATTTGCATACAATAAACAACCACATTACTCATAACCAACTAATGGGATGAGTGTTGTACTAAAGCGAAAAAAATTCAATTCACACCCAAGGCTGGTAACATACACTATATTACAAAGAGTATTTGCTCACCTGCCTTGACTCATACTATGAACTGAAGTGCCATCCCATTCCTAACCCAGAGTTCAATATGATGTCGGTCCAACTTTTGCAGCTATTACAGCTTCAACTCTTCTGGGAAGACTGTCCACAAGGTTGAGGAGAGTGTTTATAGGAATTTTTGACCATTCTTCCAAAAGCGCATTGGTGAGGTCACACACTGATGTTGGTCAAGAAGGCCTGGCTCTCAGTCTCCGCTCTAATTCATCCCAAAGGTGTTCTATCGGGTTCAGGTCAGGACTCTGTGGAGGCCAGTCAAGTTCATCCACACCAGACTCTGTCATCCATGTCTTTATGGACCTTGCTTTGTGCACTGGTGCACAGTCATGTTGGAAGAGGAAGGGGCCCGCTCCAAACTGTTCCCACAAGGTTGGGAGCATGGAATTGTCCAAAATGTTTTGGTATCCTGAAGCATTCAAAGTTCCTTTCACTGGAACTAAGGGGCCAAGCCCAGCTCCTGAAAAACAACCCCACACCATAATTCCTCCTCCACCAAATTTCACAGTCGGCACAATGCAGTCTGAAATGTACCGTTCTCCTGGCAACCTCCAAACCCAGACTCGTCCATCAGATTGCCAGATGGAAAAGCGTGATTCATCACTCCAGAGAACGCGTCTCCACTGCTCTAGAGGCCAGTGGCGGCGTGCTTTACACCATTGCATCCGACACTTTGCATTGCACTTGGTGATGTGTGGCTTGGCTGCAGCTGCTCGGCCATGGAAACCCATTCCATGAAGCTCTCTGCGTACTGTACTTGGGCTAATCTGAAGGTCACATGAAGTTTGTAGCTCTGTAGCAATTGACTGTGCAGAAAGTCGGCGACTTGCTTGAAAAGGTATTTTCAGTGGATAACAAATGTCTACTGCAGTGTTACATTACTAACGTTTAGTTACCCTTTAATATACCTTGGTGGAAACAAGAGTAAAACTGAACTAAGTTCATAGTCATTCCTACGTATAGTGTATGTCACACTTTTATTTTCATACTTTGGCCTGGTTTGCGAGTTATACTCTGGTTATTTTCACACTGACTGGTATTGTGACCATTACTATTGATAAGTTGTAACCTGGGTTTTAATTTTGTTATATTACACACTTACTGTGTCTGACTAGTATACTCTGGAAGGAAGAGAGAGTTTTTTGGTTTTGATTGTTGTCATCATCGTCAATGCTATAATTATATTGAGAACACAAACTTTTTCTACTACAGAGTAAGACTCAAGAGTCATACAAAACATACAAATATAACATTTAACATATATGTATATATAAGTTGTGCTGACTTATCTTACCTGTATTACAGGGAAAATGTGAATAAAATCCAGTCCTTGGATTTGATGGGGTTCCAAGCTATGAGGACATTTCATCTTGGGTAGCACAGAAACAATTTTCTCCGTAAGGGCTCTGTATTAAAAGTGACAATTTAGTTTTATTTAGCAAGTCAGAAATAATACAATTGCATGATTTATAATTGCAGTTGGTCTGTAATGAAATCATCTTAATTCCTATAATACACTAGCTCCTGGGTTGTTGTAGCCTAGACTATGAGCTTTGGATGGACAGTGATACATCATTAAAATTACGGCTGGATTGGTCATGCAAACTTGCATTTGACTGCATGCATTTGAGAATTTGCACTAAATGTGACGTTAAAATTACAAAAGGATATTGTGATGGTATGAAATATGGTAGAAGGTACCTCATGTTGTAGCCGCGTAGTTAAACAACATCCCCAAATTACTTTTCATGCCAAAGTGAGCAATTGCAGTTGACGATTTTTCTTTTAATGAACAAATTTACTGCACAGCCAGGAGATTGATAGCAGGACATTTAAATGACTTAAGTTTGTCACAGAGCTGGCTGAGGATAAGAACAAGGCGAGACAGGGTTTGAGAGACTGCTGCTGACCTACATGGAATAGTGTAAGACCAAGACGAACGTTTGTTTAAACACGATGACAAAAGAAGGTCAAGTACTGTGCACAAATTTGAGGTCGATGTGTAAAAATGCTTAAAAAGAGAATTGTTTTGGACATATGAAATTAAATCATTCATTCTATTATTATAATGTTTTTATCAATTCATAAAATTAAATATCAATATAACACAAAGGGGAAATTTACAGTGTGAGCCTTTGCAAACTGACAGGTTTCCATGGGTGGCGCCATGGTTCCTCTTAGGACCCTGTGTCGGGTTGATAACCACTATACTATGGAAAAGTGTGCAAATCACAAGCTTCAAATCAAATCAATAATTGGTGCGATATTGCTTGTTGCGTTAAATTGCATCACTTTTTACACATGCAAAAGCCAGAAAGACCTATGAGGATATTTGTAAATGTTGTAAAAGAGTTGGCATAAAAGCAGAAGAGAAAACAGATGGAGGCAAATAATCTGGTGTGGCGCTCCCTTAAGAGGGGAACTGAAAGGAGAAGAAGATTTAGAAAATGTGAAGAACACCTAAAAGTCAGAATCTTGCTTTTTTTCCCCACTCATTTATAATTGAAACAATTCTGACAGTTTTTATGTGGCTTTGGCTGTGTGACTAATTTTGATAATATTTGCAGAAACTCTAAGACAGGGATCACCAACGTGGTCGCCCCATGGACTACCTAAGGTGCCTGCAGCGTATGTTCTTAAAAATAAAACCAGTCAAGAAGAGGGTCAAAAATTGTACTGTTACTGTGCTTTTTAAATCAGTTACACTTGCAATGATATTCAAAAGGGTGCAATGACGAAGGTAAGACGAGAGTGTACTATTACCGTATTTTCTGGACTATAGAGCGCACCTGTATATACCCACTAATTTAAAAAAAAAAAAAAAAAAATTTTTTTTTACACATATAAGCTGCACCGGACTATAAGCCGCCAATATCCAGGTTGAGGAATGACATATTTACCAGATACACATAGAACACAGAAAGATTTTGTACCGTAAATGTTTTCAAAGGTTTTATATACCTGAACTGATTGTTTCCGAACAGTGCCTGTAACACGGCAGTAAAAGCGCCGATCGAACAAAACATGGCTGACGGCTTTATTCGTCTTCCTCCTGAGCACTGAAACCACTGAACACTGAAACACAGCCTCAGAAAAACTTAAGTCTCTCTGTCAGTGTCGCTCTCCGTGTCACTGTCATCCCGAGGTAAAGTTGCCTCTGAAGGTGCGCTGCTCTCTTCACGTAGCAGTCCGCTGCCGTCTCCAACGTCTCACCATGGATTCATTGATGGCAAGCTTACGTGCAGCAGCCCTATTTCCTCCCTGGCTAGCCAGATCGATGGCCCTTAACTTGAAAGCTGCATCATACGAACTTCTTCGTGTGCTTTCCATGATGACGGGGTGAGGGTGTGAAAATAAAAAATTCTGTGAAAAATTCTTTGCACTGACGTCCCCTGTCTGTCTTGTTTTTGCATTTTTTGCTACAATGCCCCCTTGGCAGCTATAGAAAAATCCATAGAAAAGCTGCATCTTTGTATAAGCCGCATGGTTCAAAGTGTGGCAAAAACAACATGCTGTCAACAGTGACACTGGCTACAAGGTTAACGCCAACAAACACTAAGTAAAATAATGTTTTTTTTTCCTTAATGACTGTTTAGCTCTCATTTAAGAGGCTTCATCAGTTCTAAATACATTCACACAGCCAAAGCCAAAAAAGAGATTGTAAGAGATTGTTAACATGTTGGGTTCAGTCCTAACATTAAAGAAGAACATTTACTCACTAAGAAAAACTACCAGCAACATCGTGTTAATAAATAAAAAAAAAATAAAAAAATTCTCACATTTTCTGACAAATAGTAGAGTTTTCTTGAAATAGAAGATCCACATCAATGCCGAAGTTACACGTGGTGATGCACCATGTCATACCCCCAACTACCTGAGGTGGAGAGAAAGAAAAGTTATATTGTGCATAGAGCTTGCGGCCTGCTAGTCCTGCATGAATAAATATTAGGGATGCACCAAAATTAAAATTGTTGGCTGAAACTGAAAATGAGGAAACCAAGGCCGAAAACCGAAACACGGAAAAATAATTAAGATTGTTGCTTGAAATATGTTCTCTCATTAAAAACACAAAATGCATTTAAGTCAATTGCTGGATCCTTTCTCGTGTGCGCTGCTTTATGCCCGCATCAGAGTAAAGTTCTTTATAATCAAGTAAATTCACAGCGGATCCAAATAGATCTCGGTGAAATGTATGCTGACAGGCAACTTTAGTTGATCTCACTAAAGAGATCAGCTTTAGTTCATCTCTTTAGTGAGTTAGCTGCTCAAACGGGGCAAGAAGAGAGAGAATGCTCCTGGTCTGCGCTATATGCAGCAACGACGCAAAGAGGCTTTCCTTCCTCTCATATTCAGCATAGCGATCGGGACGGTTGGATTTCAGGTAATAAATTAAACCCGACGTAGAAAAATTCTTTGTAGATGCACACCCTCTTTAAATTTCAACATTACATTACAACATTTTGCAAATCGCTCTCCTTGGGTCTTTCTCAGATATGTTGAAATACCGTACTTTCAGACAAGATCGCAGCGGCCGCGGTGTTTGCCTCTGTCATCATAACTTCCTGTTTTAGTCGTTCTGTTTCGATGATAAAAGTCTTTCAGTGGCCGAATATTTGGTTCATCCGTAATAAATATCTAATTAATTAAATTGCAACTGCCTCGCATTTTGTTATGGCCATACAGTAAATAAATGAAGGGTACGGTTTTACTTGAATTATCACTGATAACAAATAATAACTATACAATACAATGTACACAAAGTGTATATTTCTAATTCTCTAAATCTTGTGTACTTTAATCTCTAGGCTTGTGTACCAGTATCTGCTATTCCCATACCACTGAAAATTGACATGTTTGTTATTTTCACACTGACAGACACTACAGGGCACTCATCCTTTGGCGGGTGCAACTTATACTCCAGAGCAACTTATAGTCCAGAAAATACGGTATATAGAATTATAATGTATTATTGTAGATGGCATTAAAGAAACAAATAAATGATAATAAATAGAAATGATAAGTAAATGATCGTCTGCGTGTTTAGCATCAGTTCTTTTGTTTCAATATCATGGTTTGCTTGTGTGCTCCTTTTATGGTATTTGTGCTAAAAAGAATGACCACATGAAACTAGAATGGGACAGTTTATGGATATGGTTATGAATATGCCAGATCATGTACAGTAATGACTAGGGATGCACTGAATTTTCAGCCGCCTAAGGTTTTTGACAGAAAATGGCCTTAAGTACATTTTCGGTGTTCAGCCGAAAGACTTTTATCACCGAAACAACATAGCTGAAACAAGAAGTTATGATGACGCAAGAAAAAAAAAAAATCTTTTTGACTAGGAAAAACTGCATTAGAGGTAACGGCAATACATATCCAGCTTAGCGTTTAAATGTTAAAACGGCTTGCCATGGGTACCAATATGTCTGCGGTATGAACATATTTTCTTCTATTATATCTGAGAAAGACCTAGGGATAGCCATTTGCAAAATGTGTAATGCTGAAATAATGCTGAAATTTCAAGAGAGTATGAAAAGTACACCCAGAGTCTGTCAGCACACGATTCACTGAGATTTATTCGGATCCCCTTCACTCTTTGCGACTATACTTGAACAATAATAGGTGGGCTATTCTGTTCTGATTTCCTATGTGACTATAATTTGAGTTTATTGCTCTGCCAGACATTTGACAATGAATTATTTTGAGACATTTATAATTCATTATTTATTTAGTATTAATGTATGCAATTGTAGTGCCTTGATTCCATTGAGGTCTAATACAGAGTCAAAGCCATACATGCAATGGTATTAATAATTGGCATAATAATTTCTTTCAGTGTTTCAGTTTGCAGCCTTGGTTTCCATATTTTCGGACACACACATTTGCAATTTTTTTTTTTTACAATTTCTGAAACCAGTAGTTGATTATTACTATTTGTCAACTAGGGCTACTTGGGCAACATAATGCCCACTGGTTCATATATGTACTATGAATGAACTATTTCTGTGCAAAATAGAAAACATTTTTTAAAAAAAGTACACATTTAACTGAGGAATTGCAGGAATCCTGATAACCATCCATCCCATCCATCCATCCATTTTCATCCGCTTATCCGTTACCGGGTCGCAGGGGCAGCAGTTGCCACCCAAATCACATTGCACCGTACCAACCCCCCCAAACCTTCCTGCGGGTGGTGAGTCCACTGAAAGGTATTAACCGCCCTAACCGGGATTTGAACTTGCCCAGGAGGTGAACCCTGGGGTTCCACACCAATGACAGAGACATTGCCTCTGGGCCAAAGCGCCACTCCTGATAACCATTCACAATCAAAAATGTAGTGAAAAGAGGAGAAAAAGAAAAACCCATTAAAAAACATTGAGGACTTATTAACCATTTACCTTATCAAATGATGACAGTCCTTTAATTCTGGCTCTGAAGTAACCAGCAGCCAACAGAAGCTCAAGGATCTCTGCCAGCTTAATGTTCTGTTCCTCATCTTCTCTGGTTTCCACCTAAAATCCAAACACCAGTATTAGAATGAATTAAAGAAGTACTACCATACTTCTTAAAAGATTTTAAATTACTTCAAAAGTTTTTTTTTCATCAAATATATCAGGGCTTAATTCGTCAATGCATCATGTTTCTCTTAGAAATGCCCTTGTTTTTTTAAGTACAGTATCTTTTAGGTCGGGTACATTTATAGCCTTTGTTCTGCGTCACGTAAATTGAAGATTTTTTCCCCCGCTTTTTAATGTGATGTTACTTCAGTGAAAATAAACCATTTTATCCTACTGGCTGTCTATGGGCACGCTTATCAGTGCTGTCCATAGTAATAATAGGCCACTTCATGGATAGGGTGGTAGCTGACAGGCGGAGTGGTGCGTCAATCAAAGCAATCGGACACATTCAGCGCCTCAAATCGAAGAGCGCTCAGTTGGTGTTATACTGTAAGGCACACATGTCAAACTCAAGGCCTGGGGGCCAAATGCGGCCCAACAAGCCATTTTGTGTGGCCCGCGGGAGCTTAAAAAGCATTTAATAAAGTCCATGGGCTGGTACCAAAGGACCTATGGACTGGTACTGGTCTGCAAACCGGGGGGTGGGGGACCCCCGCTCTATACAGTGTTCCATTTAAAACCGGCCCTTCAACAGGAACTGTATTGCTGATGTGGCCCCCGGTGAAAATGAGTTTGACACCCCTGCTGTAAGGGGTAGCAATAAGGGGCAATGTGTAGTGTGGCGGAAAAAAGATGCAACTTTAGTAAAAATGTATATTTATGGGCACTGAATCTTGTCATATCCTAGGTTCATTTGGTTGGCTTTCTGCTACCAATGTGTTCATGGTGCAGAGGAAGGCACATCAAGTCGTATTTTGTTGTACCTTATCTGCTTATTTTATGTTGAATGTGGAAAAGTTAAGATAATGCATCAATAAATACGTTAAACCTTTTTAGGTTTAGGTTTTGTCTTTGGGACTGTAGAGTTTGTTTGTTTTGTGGGGGTAAAAGGCGAGATACGTAAATGTTACTTGGCACAAAAAAAGGGAGAACGGGGGGCGGGGGGTGTTAAATGATTGCGGCTTTCCCTCATTCACTCAGACCTGCTATTTGTCCCGCATTTTGTCGGTTTGACTGTGTTCACCCTAGTGAACATGTAGTCAAAACGTCGTTTTATATATCCGGGCCAACATTTACATAGATGACAAATATCGCTCTTTTATGCACGCATGTTTTATTATATTAAACTCAAACAAGCGTTGAAAGAAAACGCTTACCTCGGTAAATTTCCCCTCTTGGTCATACTGGGCTCCTTTTATTAATCCAGTTTTCTTACTGGGAAAAAGACATGTCGCCGCCATGATTTCACCAGCAGCTACGGAAAGCAAGTCAAATGACAACATCACGTGACCTACGGATCTCTTCACACTTCCTGGTAGCGTCGCTGCCACTTCCTTTAAGGGGAGTCAATGGTTAATTTTGTTGACGAAAAATATCCGTCAACGAATATTTTTCACGTACCAAAACTAAACAAAAAGTCCACAATGAAGACTATGACGAAATTTAATAAACATTTTAGCTCAGGTTTCAATACTAGCTGCACTCCTTAGCAGCAGCCCGAGTGCATGTTTAATGAAAAACACACATGACATGTCAGCGTAAGTTTTGAGATAAAAACGAAGAACTGACATCTGTTAACACTCCACAAGGACCCTCCACAAGGAATTAATATGCGGATATTAATTATTATTATGTTAAATATTGTATCGATGTTTGTTTTAATTATTTCAGAGGGACATTTGGCCTTTCATGTGCAATTGCAATACAACCAAACAAGTCTATTTGAGTTTTGTATTTATTTTCAAATCTTTAATATGATATGTACGTATTTATTTAGAACATTAAGAAGTTTTTTCTATGAAACTGTGTTTTGTTTTATTTCTAATTGCATGTAATTTCTGTCGTATCTCTATAATCAAACCTTAGCCCTGTAAAAAACAGAAAATTCCAATTCTTTGAACTTGGACCCTTAATTTGTCCCTCTGAACAAGCAAACAAAAAAATTCAAATATAATTTTCCATATGAGTTTCAATTTGTATCATATTTGATACACTGGGTCACAATGCTCAAAGATTTTTATTTCGTGAACAAACAAAAACATAATAAAACACACACAAAAAAAAAAATCGAACAAATTTGTAATTCCAAATATAAAAAGTGCTACCAAAATGCAGTAATAAGAAATCCACTAATGGTACTGGCTGTGTGGAAGTCTGGAAAAACATATATATATTTATATTATATTTACATATATAATATATATTTACATATAATGTATTCATAAATAATATGATACAGCAAGTTACATATCTAGTTTTTTACTCTAAATGTACCAAATTATGAATTTTAAAAATAAAAAGACTGTATGTTGCCTGATGTTATATATAATGCATGAAATACAATAAAATGGCAATTGACTGATTTAGAGTTACATGTATATATCATATATGTAATTATATTTATAATACGAATATATTTATATATCTAAACCATACATCATGGCTGCTCTCACCACTGTCCTGTAAACCCTTTCCTTCACCTTATACATATATTGATTTATATATATATATATATATATATATATTTCTACATTGGTCATATTTTTTAATATTGGTGAAGAAATAGGAAATTTAGAAGACGGACAATAAAGTGTCAGCATGAGGTCATTTTCATACTTGTGAAGCCAATTAACGCGCAGTTCCTCGTGACAGTATGTGACACTGGAGTACAGGACAATTCCGTGTTCGGTACTGAGGACTTTGATTTCAGTGGAGGAGTTAGCTGAAAGAAAAGGACAGAAATTAATTCACTGTAATATTTCATGGTGACAAACATATTTGACTAAGGAACATTTAGCTCCTGTGTGTGTTTTTCTGTGTGCCCTTCTTTAATTGAGGGTACAATCCACTCACCAATGACTCTGAACAGCTCATTCATCACAGTTTGGTATCCTGAAAATCAATAAATGTCATATTAACTTTAGTTTGAGGAACAATCAGCAGAGACTCCAACCTCACCATCAATTAAAAGTTCCACTTTACCTGCGTCTGTCAGATTAAAGACGCTCTTATCTTTGCCTCTGTCATCACTCAGGTAGACCTCATAAATGCCCACATCACTCTTGGAGATCTAGAGTTTGAAATAAACTTATATTTAGTGTACTATAAGGTGACATCACACTAGAGACAAAAATGGTCAGGAGAAGCTAGTTAAGAGAGCTGGCTCGGTCGCCTGATGTTGGAGAGAGGAGGATTTTAGCCAAGTTAAAATCCATTATTGACAATCCCTCTCACCCTCTCTTTGGGTGAGACACTGTGGGAACGCTGAGCAGCTCTGTCAGCAGCAGGCTGCTGCAACCTCAGTGGAGAATGGAACGCTTTCTGAGTCTTTCCTCCCATCAGCCGTCAGACTGTTCAATGCACAGGTATAACGTTGTTGTTGTTACAGCTATAATATTGTTATCTTGGTATATGTAAACAACTCATTTTGTTTACATATACCAAGCCTGTCCATAGCTACATTACAAATTGTTTGTCATTTTATTTTGTTCTACATGCACTACAAAGTTAGTCACTTTAATCCTTGCTAGAAAGATCACTTTGATATTTGTATCTCACCTCGTAAATACTGAGTCTACCCTGCTGTTACTTTTACTACTACATATCTATCCTGCTAGTGGAGCGACTTAATTTCCCCGGTGTCTTAGCCATCTCATCTCATCTTGTCTAATAGTGCATACACCACAGCGTGGGCCTCCACCCATTTTACGGGCATCCACTTCTTCTTCTTATTTGCTTATATACAGTAGTTACGATTTAAACATATACTGTACTAAGCAAACTAAATTTTAAGAGATGTGTTGCCTTCATGGACGTCCCTCCTAACGGTGTTGCCGTTATTTTATGACATGTTTCGTGTTATCTGTGCTCAATTGAGGGGGCCTTTGTACAGTATGTAGTCGAGCACAAGCGCTACTCAGACTTAACTCAACTCAGGTTTCTGTGAGCTAAACGTAATCAGCTTTTGTGAAACCAGACAGAGTTGGACCTCTCCGGCTTACGATAGCCAGAGCTGCATTTTAACAGGAGTTTCTTGAGCCCGCTTCAGGAAACAGACCCCAGGCTACTATCCATGTATGCTGTTAGCTTGAGAAATGGGTTTATTTTCATTCCCCTAATCCTCGTCCTCTGTGAAAAGGTACGAGTATTATTAGCTGGAATTTGAAGGGCACATCTTAAAAATCACTCTGAGATTTGAGTCATGCTTTACCTACCAAAGCTGAGTTCCTATCTATGATAAAGATGTTAATCAGTTGTTAGTAATCTTTGGGGATTTGAGCCATGGTTTGCTCATATTTTCAATTTATACATTTGAGAGTACTGGACTCAAACACTATACACTCTAAAATGATTTAAAAAACACTACATGCAGAAGAGAAAATATATACAGCTTGATACATTTACCTGTGACCTTTATGATGCATTATTTTTGTTAAAGAGCAACAGTATACAGACTATGCTATGGTTACTGTCCTTTTGAAAAATACAATTGGAGAAGTAGATTTGCTAAATATGCAAGAGTAGTGCACAAGACAACAACATTCTGCTGATGCTTGCAGTATTTAACAGGCCATTCTTACTTTCGTAGCCAGTGTTGCAATCTGGTTAGAGTTGTGTTTCCCTTTGTGTTCTGACATATAAGGGAAGTAATGCCATGTAATGATTGCAGAAAGTGAATGCTCGCAAACAGCAGAATGGACGAAGTCTCCCACATTCAGTTCAACCCATTGTTTGATATGTCCCTCAGCAGATCTGACCTAAACTTCGAGGTAGAGGGTAAGTACAAACTAACTACTACTACTCTCATTAAACTGGGGCTGTTACGATTTGATTAATTGCCCCGCCTGGTTTTACACTTTGTTGACAAAGACTGACCTTTCATAAGCTGTATGTCTCAACTTGTCCTAGTCTAGCATTTAGCAAAAGCTAATCGTCCTTAGTCTTTTACCCTAGTCTCCGCAATGCTTCTCTTTCTTTTCTTCCACTTCCTCTTATCAGTTTTCTCTTATTCTTATTTGTCAAAACCAACAAAACCAATTCACTTTGACCTCAGCTGTTTGATCCCCTCACAAATAAATTCATCCAAGAAAAAGTGGAGTAAACTCCCCTTTGACATACGCACACACAAAATGAAAAACATTATTTCCTGCTTTCCTGAACCTCTGTTATGTACTGTGATTCATCAAACGATACTACCCCAAAGTTTTCTTTCTCTGCAAGTGGGCTCCTGTCCCTTGAATTATGCTATATTCTTTTAATATAAATATAATAAAGAGAAGCCAAGAAAAAAAATATTGCAGAGAGCTTGACACTGAATTTTATTTAAATTGTTCTGCTATCTGTCAAGGAAGTGACCGAGTCTCTAGTCCTGGCACCACCTGTTGGCAATAGTTAGTGTGCTCTATACTCTTTGAGTGCTTTTCAAATATTAGATGACTGAAATTCTTCAGAGCCACATAAGTTTGAAAAGTATGGACACTTTTTAACTGTTTTCTAACTGCTTCCCCGGGAAATAGGGCCTACGTTATATAGACTACACCACCCATAATGCACCGCGGATATACACGCCGACATAAGTGATGGGAAGACCGACTCTTTTTATTACTCGAACAGTAAAATGAACGAGTCGTGAACGAATCTTGAACTAATGATTTCATTCGTTTTACAGCAGGTGGCGCTTTAGCCCTATTGTGGGCGTTGTAAAGAAGGCTGCGGTTCTCCGACACTAAATAAGGCAACATGGTTTGCTGCCGCTGACAAAGTCTACAAAGTACACAAAATGCCATAAGTAATTAAAACCATGTGAAAAGCTAAGAAATAAAAACACACCACAATGTGAAGATGAATGAGAGCAAAAGAGACACGAGCTCTCTGTCACGTGACAAATGAAACGAATCTGCGAGAACGAGGCGAAAGATTAGTTCACAGAGAATGATCCGTTCATAGTGATTAGTTCACAGCGAAAGATTAGTTCACAGAGAATGATTCGTTCACAGCGAAAGATTAGTTCACGGCGAAAGATTAGTTCACAGAGAATGATTCGTTCACAGCGAAAGATTAGTTCACGTAGTCACGAATCTTTCATATGACTCGGGAGTCACGAGTCATATGAAAGTTCGTAGCCGACATGCTAAACCGCTTAAATTCAAACCAGCGTACACAAACAATCACAACGTAGTATATTATCGACAAAATCAATTCATTTGAACAACACAACACGTAGCAGTAGCTTACTACACACATACCAAGTTGGTATCGGTATCGGATCGATACTAGCCTGGTGAGCTCGATTCTTTACATTAAGTTCCGCTCTTGTTTGCAATGCTCCGGTTTCGACAAAGAGGAAACAGCCAGCACTCTCCGCTCCTGTCAGCGCTGAGCAGGCACACTTTGCTCCCCCTACCTCTCTTGTGTTTAGAAGATGTTGCGCCGTCACGTAACGTGACTTAGACGCGCAAAGCAAATAAACAAGCAAGTTGCCGGCACCACAGAGAGAAAGAGGAACGCCGCGTGGCTGTATTTGCAAGCCGAAAATGAGACAACGGGAAAATGTGGGATTTTTAAAATGCTAGTCAGGTTTAGTGGAAACACTACCAATTTATATAAAAAGTCATCCAAAAGAAAACATGGAGCTACAAAAACGGAGAGAGGAGAGAAACAAATTTGATAATCAAGCATTTTCTATTTAATTTTTTCACATTATATTTTTGCAATACTCGTTGTCAATCCCGTCATAATGAACTCAACTGTTTGTGCAATCACTGGGGTGGTTTCCTGTTCAGTTTGGGTTGGATGCGCAAAGTGAGGTCAGGACGATGATGTTTTTGCCTTGCAAATAAACTTTTTCTTTTCGGGTTCAGTATAATGATCCCGGTAAAACACCAGAGTAATTACTTAAAGTGGTGTGCTTCTTGAACGTTCCAGGGGAACATTTGGAAATCTTAAAAGATTGACAAGACTGATGTTAAGTTAAGCTACTAAGAACAAGGAAATTGTCTTTTTCCTTGTTCAAGGGTCAAAGATTCGTGACTCGTGACTACGTGAACTAATCTTTCGCCGTGAACTAATCTTTCGCTGTGAACGAATCATTCTCTGGGAACTAATCTTTCGCCGTGAACTAATCTTTTGCTGTGAACGAATCATTCTCTGTGAACTAATCTTTCGCTGTGAACGAATCATTCTCTGTGAACTAATTTTTCGCCTTGAACTAATCTTTCGCTGTGAACGAATCATTCAATCAATATTTGTTTTATTTTCCTATCTGTTGCCAAAATGACAAGACCAATGGCAGCGTATGTAAGACAGAGATTAATGTCCGGATGTATTATTAATGTATGTGTCTCTCTTTGTTTCAGAGAGAACGCCAAAGAAACCTAAAAAACAGTGGTATGGTAGAGCAATTGTTGTTTACCTGATTTTGCAGACCATACTGAACTTATTTCTTCTATATAAAGGTAATTATATATTTTTTTTTTCTGGGTTGATTACAAACGTTCATACATTTCTCTGAAATGGGATTAAACGAACATTTACATTAATGAATGATAAATGAAAAAAAAAAGACTACTATTGCTACTTTTTTTTTCTTCCCTCTGCCATAGTGTTCACAGTGGAGTCTTTCTCGTGTCGTTCTGGGTTCGAAAAACTGATAGCAGCTCACACAAATCTGTATGAAGAACCAAGCAAACACAGTCTTGAGGTGCTAATTCAGAACAACAGTCAAGAGGCAAAGACACTGAGGGACCTTGTGTCTTCTCTGGAAACCCAGGTCCTTCTACACTTTGACTTGCACCAAAATGAAAAGTCTAGGGCTGGTTTATTATCCAAGACAAAAGCCTTTAATCATCCTTTCATCTATGGTCCAAATATGTTTTCTTTTGTTTTATATAAATCAATTACTTACTTTGTTTGTTTCCCTTCACAGTTTCCTCAGGCTTTTCAAGTAGCAAGCTAAAGAAAACGTCATAGAAAGTCATAGAAAAAGGCATAGGCAGAAAATTTAGCCCACTAATATAGAGTTTTAGATTGCTACCTGATATTTATTATTTGTGTTTTATAGTAGTTTTTTTTAGTAAATTGGACTGCAGTAACACACATTTGTTACACACACACATATATGACCATATAAAAAAAAATAGAATATCATGGAAAAGTTTATTTATTTCAATAATCCCATTAAAAAGGTCCACCTTAGTTCATAGACACGGGCCACAAAGACACTGAGGGACCTTGTGTCTTCTCTGGAAACCCAGGTCCTTCTACACTTTGACTTGCACCAAAATGAAAAGTCTAGGGCTGGTTTATTATCCAAGACAAAAGCCTTTAATCATCCTTTCATCTATGGTCCAAATATGTTTTCTTTTGTTTTATATAAATCAATTACTTACTTTGTTTGTTTCCCTTCACAGTTTCCTCAGGCTTTTCAAGTAGCAAGCTAAAGAAAACGTCATAGAAAGTCATAGAAAAAGGCATAGGCAGAAAATTTAGCCCACTAATATAGTTTTAGATTGCGACCTAATATTTATTATTTGTGTTTTATAGTAGGTTTTTTAGTAAATTGGACTGCAGTAACACAAATTTGTTACAGACACACATATACGACCATATCCAAAAAAATAAATAAATAGAATATCATGGAAAAATGTATTTCCATAATTCCATTCAAAAAGTTCAACTTAGATTATAGATTCAGGGCCCACAATTTAAACGACCTCAAGTATTTATTTATTTTTACATCATTTGGGCTTCCAGCTCATGAAACCCACATTGGTAGAAGAATGTTAGAGATGGAGCTACCAGGTAGGAGACAAAGAGGAGATATATGGATGCAGTGAGGGAGGACATGCAGATAGTTGGAGTCAGAGTAGAAGATACAGAGAACAGGGAGAGATGGAAATCAATGAGTTGCTATGGCAACCCCTGAAAAAAAAAGAAAGGTTGAAAAGGAAAAGAAGACGATATATATATATTATACTTTTCAGTATGGCCTACGTGGTACTTTTGCTAAGTTTAGTGGAAGATAGGAAGAAAGGAACTGATTAACATCACATGCTGATATGTTAAGTAGTAAAAAAAAAAAACATTTCTGAACTGCATTCTTTGTCAAAAACCATTATATTTACATATATACATTTACATGCAGGTCAATAGTGTGTGTCAGCTGGAAGAAATCAAACATGACCTGGCCCTCCTTAACACCACCACACACAGCCTACAGGTCCAACAGTCCACCATCCCCGTGGCATCAGGTAATGTGATCGGAGTGTCTGGTCAGGAAATCAATTGGCAAAAGTTGTGTCCCTACTGATGTGCCCCAGGAATATATGCTAAGAAATAAATGCTCTCATTTGGTGAACTGATGTATTCTGTCTGCAAGTGTGACTGGTACAACAATAACATACCAAACGTTTCCAAAATCAATTCAACAAATGTTATTGCAGTTTTTTTTTAATTATTAAAATTATTAATATTTTGTTCAAATTTCAGTTGGCACAGAACACAGTTTCTGAAATGCTTACAAAAAAAGATTAATCCTAAACAAAAGCAATAATATGTAATGTGCAATATGTATGTGTGTATATAATGTATATATGGGTATTTTGTGTGTATATATGTGTATGTATAACAAATATCAATAACCAATAACAATTATCATCTATTAACCCACTACTACTACTGCTATTGCAACTACTAACCAGAGGTGGGGTCATTGCTTTGCAAGTCACAAGTAAGTCTCAAGTCTTTGCACTCAAGTCCGAGTCTCACTTGCGAACTTTCATATGACTCGTGACTCCCGAGTCATATGAAAGATTCGTGACTCGTGACTAAGTGAACTAATCTTTCGCTGTGAACTAATCTTTCGCCGTGAACTCAAGTCAAGACAGGCAAAGTCCGAGTCGAGTCCAAGTCAAGACTGAAAAGTGTCAAGTCAAGTCCCAAGTCCTGCCGTTTCTGTTTCGAGCCCTTTCCAGTCCTTTTCAAACAAAGTAACAATATATGTACACAGATCGCTTTGGGTTTTGGAGAAAGTCTCGAGTCATGTCGAGTCAAAGGGCTCGAGTCCAAGTGAAGTCACGAGTCATTGATGTTAAAGTCCAAGTCGAGTGGCAAGTCTCTTTACATTTTGTCAAGTCGAGTCTAAAGTCATCAAATTGATGACTCGAGTCTGACTCGAGTCCAAGTCATGCGACTCGAGTCCACACCTCTGCTACTAACCTACTAATCCAATCTACGAATATCTACATATACTAATACTATTTACTAATGTCCACTAACATCCACTGTTCAGGTTTTCCCTCTCTATCTATCTACAGTATCTCTCTCTCTCTCTTTCTCTCTCTCTCTCTAGCTAGCGCATGCGTAAGGGGGAGTGTGGCGTGTGAGCCGAGACCATGCTTGGTGTGATCTACAAATAATTGGTGGCATAGGTTGGTGTGAGGTGTATCACACCAGTGAAGGTGTTTTTCTTGTTTTACTCGACCAAAATGCCGGTCGTAGACGGTGGAGCCGAGTTTGAGAAGCTGACGCGTCGTCATGCTATCAAACTGGTGCCCAACCTAAGGTGCTCGGTGAAGAAGGTTAGTTTGCCCAGGCGTGGGCAAACTTTTTGACTCGCGGGCCACTATTGTCCTAAAATTTGACACGGGGGCCGGGTGAGGAGCAGATAGATGGAGTGTTCGTGTGAAATAAGATAAATGACATGTAAAAGTCATGCATAAAGGCTAAAATGCTAAAATGCTTTTATTAGCCTTCTCCGCGCCATCTATAGGGAAATGTGGGCATTGCAAGGAAAAAGGCAGAAGTATAATGACAGCAGAAATGTTGATGTAGTTTCTGCTTTTGTAGAAATGATAACAAACAAACTACTAACACACTTTAGTTTTTATAAAGCTACCAAAGATCTAGACACTTTTTTTGTATGACTAGTATGTCTTTTGTAATGACCTCGGCGATTGTGTTTTAAATAAAGGTTGGTTTCTCTGTCTCTGTCTCTGTCTCTGTCTCTGTCTCTGTCTCTGCTCGGCGCAGGAGTAACAGTCCCGTCCAGAGTGCTCCACCCCAAATCTCACTCTTGCCAAATGACAAAATTGGCAATTCTAGCATCAAATAGATAGTTAACTTTCCGTCTCAAAACAAATTTAGAAGTGGATTGTAATTTTTCACGAATGTTGCTTCACATTTTATTCCTTTACATCATTCTCATTACGCTCTCTTTTTTTTTTTTACATTACAGTGGATGTGCGCCTCATTCCGGGGAGGTTTAGAGGCCGAGTAGAGGTTAGACATAATGGAGTTTGGGGCACAATTTGTGACGACAGCTTTGACAACGTCGATGGCATGGTGATTTGTAAGATGCTCGGTTTCTCATCTGCCATCACTACATTTACTGCCACTCCAGGTAAGTTTATTATCCGTTGTAATCAAAACTTCTACAGCTGTATGTCTTGATTAGGGACTGATTTACGTTGTACTGCACAGCAATTTTCGCCTTTGTTCCATGTCACCCAAATTGAAGATTATGTCTCGCATTTTCATCACACATTACTTTAGTGAAAATAAACTTTATTTTATCTGGCTTCTTGTCATGGGCACACTTACCAGTGCTGTCACTTCGGGGATCAGGTGGTAGTTGACAGGCTGAGTGGTATGTCAATCAAATTGCTGACTTTGCAGCATTTGTTAACACTTTGGTGTCTGAAATTTGAGAACGCGCACTTGTTAGTGTAAGTTCATACTGTAATGACAAGCATGTCTAATCGGGCAAAAAAAAAAAGAAGATACCACTTAAAGAATGGACTTCAAAATACCTTTGGCTTAGACCAGTGGATGGCGATGGTGAATGAGCATTCTGCAATTTGTGCAAAAGCAGCTTTTCTGTCGGGCATGCTGGCAAATATGATGTGGAAAAACACAACTCGGCAAGTCTCGGAAAAAAATGGACACAACAACAGAAAACATCTAAAACGTATGCAGTTGTGGCGCTTTGGCCCAGGGGCAATGTCTCTGTCATTGGTGTGGAACCCCAGGGTTCACCTCCTGGGCAAGATCGAATCCCGGTTAGGGTGGTTGGTACCTTCCAGTGGACTCACCACCTGCAGAAAGGTTTACGAGGGGTTGGTACGGTGGACTGTGATTTGGGTGGCGCATGATGATGCAGTGCGATACAGGCGTCTTTGTTGTAGTCTAGCTAGTTTCCTTTTAACAGACCTATACAAATATCCTCATATTCAAACCATTATTTTCTGGTGTAAATATGAAAGTACAAGTTTTTCAAAATGTGTAAGATCTTGTTTTTATTGTACAGTCTATTTTACCTGTCCGTTTGTTGCAGCAACACAGCAATTTACCATTGTGGTATCAATAAATTTCAATCTAATCCAGTTCAATCAGAGTCACTAAGTGGCAGCAACTCATACAGTGGTTTGTACAGATAAAAATATACATGTATTTCAATTTGCGGGAGTATCTGCTGGAGGGAGAACCAGTGATCTAATATATACTAATTGAAGTACTCCATTTTCAATGTCAAAAAGTTTGTTTTTTGAAAGTCACATTTTGGGTGGCAAAAGGCTGATCTCAAATTTGGTTTGTTTTTTGAAAGTCACATTTTTCACATGTTGGGTGGGTGGCAAAAGGCTGATCTCAAATTTGTCTCCAAAAAAATTTACCTTTTTTTCCAGACTATACGTCGCTCCGCAGTATACTATATACAGTGGGTACGGAAAGTATTCAGACCCCTTTAAATTTGTCACTCTTTGTTTCATTGCAGCCATTTGCTAACATGTGATATTTCAGTTTTTCTTTTTTAATAAATTTGCTAAAATTTCTACATTTCTGTTTTTTTTTTCTGTCAAGATGGGGCGCTGAGTGTACATTAATGAGAAATAAAATGAACTTGAATGAACTGATTTTAGCAAATGGCTGCAATGAAACAAAGAGTGACACATTTAAAGGGGTCTGAATACTTTCCGTACCCACTGTGTAGACTTAATTTATCAATACTTAAAAAACTTGAAAAAACAACTGTTAAACGATGGTTTTATTTGTCTAATAAATCGTCTCATAAATGAAGAGAATTTTTGAAAGATTTACATTCTGAGAAATCTGTATAAAAGAATAATAATAACCCTATTTTCTGGACTATTAATTGCTCCGGAGTAGAAGTTGCACCAGCCAGCTATAGGCAATCAGTATGAAAATAACAAACGTAATTTTTTCAATGGTACAGGAGAAGCAGATACTGGTACATAAGCCTAGAGTGCTCTCTAGTCGTTTAAAAAGGTTTTCAAAAAAGTGCGTCTTATAGTCTGGAAAATACGGTAGGTTTGCCCTAAAACTATGAGGAAGCACATTTCATGTAACCTAGCCAAATATATTTTTTTAATAATTCCGATTTTCTATATTAGTATAATGTGTGTTTGTTATTCCACAGGCTCTGGTAAAATCTGGCTGGATGAGCTGCGGTGTCATGGAACGGAGGAAGACATCTTTGATTGCCCCCATGCTGGAGTTGAATTTCATAACTGCCACCACATGGAGGATGCTGGGGTTCACTGTATCTAAACTTGAATTACTGCAGCTGTGTGTCTGTTTTTGTACATACATTATGCGCACTTACTACAATTCCTAAAATCAGTTTTATATCCTGTACTTTTTACCTAATCAAACTAAAATCGCCCTGAATTAAATTAAATTATTATATTGTCTTTTTTTTTTTTCCAAAGTCAAACTCTTCTGCTTGTCAACATTAGCTGTAACAATGTTGTATTTAAAGACACACAAATGTCCTGCAAACACACAAACTCGCTGCTGGTTCTCAAATGAATTTTTCCCCAAAGTGACAGATATGACAGCTATCTGTTGAAGTGTTCGTTAGTAAAAAAAAAAAAAAATTCAAAAATTTAAATCATTAGTTTTATCAGATAATTGAAGCAGTTGGAAGGGTATTGTTTGTGTAGCTGCACCATTGGGTCCAAAAGCCAAGTCGAAAAGCAAAGCAAAGCACTAAATCTAACTGTCAGTGTTCTGTTCTTACCTATGATCATGAGCAATGAGAAAGAAAGAAAGAATTGGGCAGAAAGTCCTTGTAAAAGCTGAGAGGACTATAGATTTACTTACTCGTTTCCAGACCAAAAGCCACAGAGGAACCACATACAGTGGAACCTCAAGATACGAGTGTCCCAACATACAAGCAAACCTTTGAGCAAATTTGTGCTTTGAGATACGAGCATGGTTACAGACACTGACGCTAGGTGGCCGAGCACTCGAAGCAGCCCAAGCCGCTTCATTCGTTCACTTCACGTGTCCGTCGACCACCATACACATCTCCCGCAAGTCTTCCGTATTGTGTTTGCGTTATCTTCGTGATTTTCTATTTTGTGGATTATTTTTCATAATAGTGATGAGTCCTAAGAGTGAGTGGTAAGGATGGTAAAGAGAAGAAGAAACACATGATGACCATGGAAATAAAGCATGACATTGTCATGCGTTGAGGGTAAAAACTCATAATTAATTTTCATTTTATTTTATATCACAGGAATCCTTATATACTATAATTTTTTTGTGTGTCTCTATAGCATTATATATAATAAAGGAGTTTTTTTAGAGGGCAGGAATGGATTCATTTTTTTTTTCTGTTATTATGGGAAAAAATGATTTACGATACAAGCACCTCGAGTTACGAGCTCGGTCCTGGAACGGCTTATGCTCGTATCTCGAGGTTCCTCTGTACTTGGTGTCTCCAGTTGGGCAACCTGTTTCAGCAAATTGGCTGTTAACATACAGTAACTTCCCCAGTGGAAGCTCAATAGGGATCTAATTGAATAGTTTCCATAGTGTAGCGGTTTAGACGCTTGCCTTATACATTTGTGACATATTGGTTAACATGTTAGTTGAATTTAACCCTTTGATGCATGACCCATGATATACTGAGTTAAAAAAAATGTTACTAAGTGTTTTTAGACATAAAAATAAGAACTGATTTGGTTCTGTTTTTATACACCAAATTTTCTGTTTGAATGTTGACACAATTATTCTGCAGTTGCAAAGGCTGACCACTGTATGGCAGTGTTGGGTGATTCTCAGGCGTCCACTGTAGAGGCTTATATGCAACACTGCCATCAAAACCTATTCTTATCATAGAAAATGACATTTTCATAGCTGTCCACTGTAGTGACCGTCATGCATGAAAGGGTTAAATCATGACCGAAGGTCCTAGGCAGGTCTACGCTATACAAATGTTTAAAAAGTCTCTGTCACCATGGATCTTAATTATTATTCCTGGCCCAATCACTAATATACATTTTCAGTCTTTCTGGAAATTTGGGTAATTTTGTCTTGTAGATTGAAGTAATGGCTTAAGATGGGATGCAGAGATGGGATGTGCATTTGACTTTCAGATAGTGCTAATTGTTAGCACCTAGAATTTGTGACAGAAGAACAGTAGCAACAAGCAGATGTTGGCATCACATCTGCCTCATCTTTTGTCTTCTCACACATGCTTGGTGCTTTCTAGGGTCAGCCTGTTAACAGCATATGTGCTGCTAACACAACAATTTCCCAAATATGGGATCAATACAGTATAGTACAAAGTTATTCTATTTATTTATTTTAAATCTTTTACAAATTGCCATCAAGGTCAAATATCTGAGTCTGCAGTAGGGTCAAGTTAATAATAATAATAATACATTTTATTTCATAGGCGCCTTTCTGTCACCCAAGGACACCTTACAGTGAATACAAAGATAACAACACAGCATTAAAAATTTTAAAATTGTAAAATTTTAAACAGATGAGTTTTAAGTGCAGATTTGAATTGTGGGAGTGAATCGATGTTCCTCAAGACGGTGGGTAGAGAGTTCCAGAGCTGGGGAGCAGAGCGACTGAAAGCTCTGTACCCCATGGTGGGGAGACGGGCGGAAGGGACAGTCAGATGTATGGATGAGGACGATCTGAGGAAGCGGGAGGGAACAGCGACATGAAGAAGGTCTGAGATGTATGGTGATACTGTGAGCAGAAGGATCTTGTAGTTAATACGGAACTTGATCGGGAGCCAGTGAAGCTGTTGCAGGACAGGAGTGATGTGGTGGATGGGAGGGGTTCTAGTAATGATGCGGGCGGCTGAGTTCTGGACCAGTTGGAGCTTATGAAGAGACTTGTGGGGTGAGACCAAAGAGGAGGGAGTTGCAATAGTCAAGGCGGGAGGTGACGAGGCTGTGAACCAGGATGGAAGTGGCATGGGGAGTGAGGGAGGGGCGAAGGCGGTTGATATTGCGTAAGTGGAAATAGGTGGATCGGGTGACGTTGTTGATATGAGATTGAAAAGATAGTGTGCTGTCGAGGATGACACCCAGACTCTTAACCTGTGGGGAGGGGGAAATGGAGCAATTGTCAACATCAAATGAGAAACTGTTGGTTTTGGATAATGTTTAGGTAGTACCAATAAGGAGAACCTCCGTATTGTTACTGTTTAGTTTAAGAAAATTTGAGGTGAACCAGGATTTTATTTCTGTCAGGGAGAATAAAGGAGAAGGGGGCGGGAGGTTGGAGTCGGGTTTGCTGGCTAGGTAGAGCTGGGTGTCATCTGCGTAGCAGTGAAAGTTTATGGAGTGTTTACGGAAGATATTACCAAGGGGGAGAAGATAGATGATGAACAGAAGGGGACCCAGGACAGAGCCCTGGGGCACACCTGCATTGACAGAAGAGGGCTGGGATGTGAAGGTTTTAAGCTGGATAAGCTAGGTTTTAAGCTATAAAAATATTTAAAAAAGGGCCACATGCGCCATCTTCTGTATAGGCACTGTCCCGTAAAGTCTTTGCAGTCACAGGGGAAGCACTGGACAGACATACATATAGACGTGTTAGATCAGTCAGTTGTAGAAGGTTCACGTTACAGTGTGTGGGTAATGGTTACAAGATAAAAAGGACACATTGAGTTGGTTATTATGTCGGCTTTTCACTGAAGGGACGAAATGACATCGCAGTGTTCTTCCTCCACACTGAGAACGCATTGCTCAGGAAAGACGTCGAAGTGAAGCTGAAAAAAAAAAATGAAAGGAACATCATATATAAATATTGTAAACTGCTGAAATATGAATGCTTTTCTTGACATATTTATTAAGTAAGCATTACTGTATTTTCCAGACTATAGGTCGCGCCAGAGTCACGAAAGCCCAAATTAATACTCTAAGAGCAGAAAAGATATTTATGTTAAAGGTATGGATCATAGAAACTGTGGCAGCGTTTTTTGTTTTTTTTTCATCGTCTTTTTTACATCTGCAGGCTCCAGTATTGTTACAACTACAACTTTTTCATGGCTAATATTCGTTACTGCAATTGAAGTATCTGCCGTTACTGATATCAATCAATCCAGCTGCGGGTTGCTCCTTTTTTACACCATGTCGCACAAAATCGAGTTGAGCATTTGGTACCTGATAGGTTGGGCTACAGCCATTTGTTTTGGATGTTTGATCCTGAAGCCAGATCAATACCGATCTATCCTATCCTATCGGCATGAGCCAACCCTACCACAAACCGAAAGGATTGCTTATACACTGTAGTTCTGTGCAGTTCATCTGCGAGCCAATGACCACAACTTTATACGTTCACACATTTAATTGTGTTCAGAGTAAAAAAAAATTGTATGGCTCTCGCGGAAATACATTTTAAAATGTGTCTCTCTCTGCTAAAAAAGGTTCCAGACCCATGCTCTATTTGCTCTGTTTAATATTGATAATGTTACATTCTCCCTCCGCTTACCTTTAAACTAAATATTCTCATCCGTATAGGTGTTGTGTTGTTTATATTCACATATTCATAGAACTGTGCTTTTTTCCTAACCACTCTCTCTCTGGCAACTCATCATGTAGGCTTTCCCCAGATGCCATGAAGTAATACTATAGCACTACTTCGTGGCATTTGGTCAAACAAATGCTTGCGAATAATGCTCACATTTTCTGGGATCTCAAAAGGGTTCTGCAAGCACTGCTTAATTCTCCTAGAATGGCAGATGATGGTATAAGCTACTGCAGATATCACAAGGACCAAGATGAAAAGCACCACAATCACAACTACCACCAGTGTTGGATTGGGCTTGTGTTCTGAAAAAAAAAAACAAAACAAAAGAGATGCAGTTATGTAAGTGAGTAGTAAAATATTAGTAGTATTTACAGGGTCTTACTTGACAGTGGGATGACTTCACATTGCCTGCAACTTCTCAGTCCAACAGGTTTTTTACTGTACATGTACTGGACCTCAACACAGTAACTCTGTCCCTCTTCCAGTTTATTGATGGATAGTGAAGAGTAACCATCTTTATACTTCTACAGAAATAAAAACAAAAACATTTATGTCCAAATAACATATGTAGCATATATTATGTAGCAGAAAATGAAATTAAATAGAAATAACTGCAATTCCTTTGTTAACAAATGACCCTGCCAATGTACTTCTTTTCAGAACTTCAAACAGAAAAGTGTGTACTAAAGTGGTTTAACTAACAGATTTAACAGTAGAGCACAATGTTTATGGTCTTTCGATTACGCCAGTGTTAAATTTATGGAATCACTCTAATATAACTTTGTTAATTATGCTCGAAGATATATATACGATAGAGATAGATGTATATATACAGTATATTTATATAGAGAGAGATCATTTTTTAATGTGGTATAATTTAGTATACATAATTCTCATTTTAGTCAATGATGGACATTGCAATAATAAACATGACGCACAACAACAGTACAGTGGAACCTCGAGACACGAGCATAATCCGTTCCAGGACCGAGCTTGTAACTTGAATAATTTTTTCCCATAAGAAATAACAGTAAGAAAATGAATCCGTTCCGGCCACTTATTAGTGCTAATAGCAACGGTAAAAAACATGTTTTTAATTGCCATAGAGACATACACACATAGGATGGTACATATTGTGGATGTACAGCAATCATACATGTGCGCTCACCACTCACGCGGGCACCTCGCTCATATTTATTGACTCACTACCATCCTTACCACTCACTTTCTTAGGGTTCATCACTATCACGAAGAATAATGCACAAAACAGAGAGGAAAGTCACGTAGATAATGCTACGTACGGATACGCAACGCTTATGGAAGTTGAAGTGAACGAGTGAGGTGACGGTGTGGGCTGCTCCGAGTGCTTGGCCACCTAACGTCGGCATCTGTAAGTGTGCTCGTACTGTATCTCAAATTTTCACTTGTATCTCGAAGCAAAACATTTGCTCAGAGGTTTGGCTCTCACAGAAATACATTTTAAAAGGCTTGCTTGCATGTCGAGACGCTCGTATTTCGAGGTTCCACTGTAATCATCATTAACCCACTACTTTTACTACTGCTACTACATCTAACACTATTAATGAACTATTTTTACTACTACTAACCCACCACTAACCAACTAATCTACTAAGATTCTATCAGACAAACTGCAAAAGCAAAGGAAAAAGCCAAGGAAACACATGGGGGCTTACAAGGTTTGCATAGTCAAACATTTGTAGTGGTGTGAGGAGCACATTAGTTAGCATTAGCTTAGTTATTTAGACCGACCAACTGATTTTGCACTTACTCCAATTTTTTCATGCAAATGGGGATTACGTTGGCAAGTGGGCACTTGTTTATCTCAATGGCGAACTGTTAGGGGTGTACCCTGCTCTTGTATGATTGCTGGGATTAGCTCCACCTTCTTGACCTTATAAAGCAGGAGGTCAGGAACCTATGGCTCGCGAGCCAGATGTGGCTCTTTTGATAACTGCATCTGGCTCTCAGATAAATCTTAGCTGGTACTTCTTAACACAATAAGAAATAAATAATTTCGCTGATATTCAAGTGTAACGTTACAGAAATCATAGTGTTAAAATAATTTTACACATTTTAATTCATACTTTTTTTTTTTGCCCTGGAGCCAATCGCATCAAAACCAAGCGGAACCAGAAGTTGCATTAATGGTAAGAAGTATTTTATGTATAGATAGTATAACAACCTTAATATTTTTTTAAATAACTTTAATACCTTTTTTAATACTTCAGAAACATATTATACTCATATCATGTTAAAATTATTGGTCTGGTTTAAAATTCATACAATCAGTTGTATTCAGAGTAAAAAAAAACAAAAAACTCTATGGCTCTCACAGAAATACATTTTAAAATATGTGACTTTTTTTGGCTCTCTGGTGAAAAGGTTCCTGACCCCTTGTTAAAATACTGTATAATACTATAATTAGAGCAACAGTAATGATAATGTATGGTACATTATCATTACTGTTGCTCTAATTATAGTATTATTTTATAACGATACATAGATTAGATGAAGAGATAGATTTGATAGATTAGCCCTTTCATGCATGACGGTCACTACAGTGGACAGCTATTAAAATGTCATTTTCTATGATAAGAATAGGTTTTGATGGCAGTGTTGCATATAAGCCTCTACAGTGGACGCCTGAGAATCCACTGTAGAGGCTTATATGCAACACTGCCATCAAAACCTATTCTTATCATAGAAAATGACATTTTAATAGCTGTCCACTGTAGTGACCGTCATGCATGAAAGGGTTAAACAGACTGACAGGTACGATCGATAAATAGATGAACATTTTCTTCGGGTGGTGAGTCCACTGGAAGGCATGTTAACACCCCTCACCTGTAAACCCTTTCCCTCCTTGCCATAGTAAACCCTGTGTTCAACATGGTCAGCATGTTCCAGAGCCAAAGTATGGTTCTTGCTCAGATATACAGTTAGGGACCCCGGTCTTGCAGCTAGCATGACATCAGGGCTACAGGTGTCACCTGGACAAAACACACAATCAGTCAAAATTAAATAACATTTTTTCATATTTAAATATGTTAAAGTATTTTTATGATTTAAAAACAAGAAAAAAATGTTTAAAATAATAACTAAATGAGCTGATTAGCAAAATGGTTACAAAAGCAAATTGCAACTTCAACAGTGAACCTGGTGTGTAACTTGGTCTATCCCTAGCGCCTATTATTGGAAAACAATAAACAATAGAGCTGCTGTTTCCGCCACACCTCACGCAGAACTTCTCCTCTCATACCCAGTCAACCACTAAAAGACAACATTAACCCTTTCATGCATGACGGGCACTACAGTGGACAGCTATGAAAATGTCATTTTCTATGATAAGAATAGGTTTTGATGGCAGTGTTGCATATAAGCCTCTACAGTGGACGAAAATTTTCAAAAAGAAAATTTGGTGTATAAAAACAGAACCAAATCTCAAATCTCCAGTTCTTATTTTTATGTCTAAAAACACATAAAAACACTTAGTAACATTTTTTTTAGATCAGTATATCATGGGTCATGGATCAAAGGGTTAATATAACATCATGACTATTACACAGGCGTTTAATAATAATAGAGTCCCTTATTCATCCCACAATGGGGAAATTTACAGTGTGAGTCTATGCAACCAACAAAAGCTGCCATGGGAGGTGCCATTAAGCACCGTAATCAAAATCCTCAGATATCTTGTAATTCTCATTGCGCTGATTCCATGACAATACGTGTCAGTTCAGAAATCGCTCAAAATGAATGCACATTCCCCTTCTCATTGTGAACACAAACAGGTATGGAGAGCGCAGCGAATGCCGTATTAAAAGTCAGAACAGGACGTGATGTATACAACGATTCACCGTGAAGTTCCACATCAGTGGTGTAACGCCATCTCTACATAATCCATTTGCCTTTAGTATTGTTGGCTGACATCATCGGCCTTTAAATGAATACTGATACTTTGAAATAAGGCCGATATCTGGTCTGACATCAATACCTGGTATCTGTACTCACCCATCCCTACAAACCCTACATACTGACAACAGTAGTCAAAAATCTTGAAGAATAATTATTCAGAGGTAAGATTATGCAGTAAGTGTAAACAGGTACGCTGTTCAGCAGCACCAAATGATATGCTCCCTTCTCTCTGTCCTTTCTACATGTTACATCTCTTGTCGACTCACAAGATAGATAGGTAGGTAGGTAGAAATTACTGGGACCCATGTACACCCATCTATTGTCCAAGAGTTGCAGCCAAAAAGCCATTCCTCCAACATGGAAAATTTGAAATATTCGGCTGTAGTGCTAGAGGGCGGTACAATAATAAGTGTCTGCACGCAACACTGAAGCATGGAGGATGTTCCTTAAAAGTTTGGGGCTGCATTTCTGCAAATTTAGTTGAAGGTTTGGTCAGGATTAACGGTGTCCTAACTGCTGAGAAATACTGGCAGATACTGATCCATCGTGCATAACCATCACGGAGGCATGTGATTGGCCCCAAATGTATTCTGCAGCAGGGCAATGACCCAAAACATATAACCATGGTAATTACAAACTATCTTCAGAGTGAAGATGAACAACAACAAGAATTGATCGTGAGGACGCCACTGAGCCCTGATCTCGACATCATCTAGTGTCTCTGGGATTACACAAAGAAACAAAAGGATTTTGGGGGAAGCAAAAGCCACACGTCTGTGGCTATTTCTCCAAAAGGTTTGAAACAACCTACCAGACAGATGGACCAATAGACAAATTAGATAGATAGATAGATTAGATAGATAGATTAGATAGATAGATAGATAGATGGATAGATGGATAGAT